ATTTTATTATTATTTCAAAATGAATACTTTTTAAAGTACGTCTTGTTGGCTATAAGCATGATAGTAAACATTAAATATTATTAGATTAATTCAATAAAATGATGTCAGTAAATATTTTAATATAGTAACACATTATTTATCACACTATTTATGTTGCTAATGTCTCTTTTATATTTAGGTATATTATTATAAATCACACGGAATACATTTAAATGTACAAATGCAATATTTTCTACATATTTCGTATATTTTTAATACCACATACAAGTAATATAATAGAATATAAGTGGTCCCATCAGAATAAATATATCAGAAAAAATTTAAAACCAAAAATTGCGTGGCATTTTATTTATAGCAAGTGATTTAATTTTATTGGTAGTACAAATCGCCTTAGCTGCTCGCTCATTAAGCTTCCATTTTACCGTTGCTTCCCAGGAGATACCTCAGCGATGAAATACTTTGTTTGATTACAACAGAGACATTTTAAATGAATTGCATTTCAAGAAACACGTGGCATAAATTATATAAGGATTTCAGTTTTGAGTTACTTTATTTAATGTGTCCCAGAAATCTTAAAGATTCTTTAATGCTCAGAATAAAAATACCACATTGATAATTTTTATAAAGTATAGAATTGTTATCTAGAAGAATAGTCTAGAAAAAAACCAAAAATATGTAGATTCGAGTTTGTCTGAAATATGAAATAGATTTAAGGGGCGATAACTGATATTGATTTATCGGCCTCGAAACTTTAGTAATACATTGACATCGTATAATAGACCGTATATACAATATGTTATTTGTAACTTAAATTCAGAGTTTCATAGAGAAATAACAAGTTTAAATTTAATTTAATTTTCTTCCTGAGAGAAAATTCATGTACATTTTTTATATCAACATGTATGTCGTTATTAAATATCTTTTTGTTCAATCACCGTAATAGGCTTTGTTCCAAAGTAATTGACCTCTGATGAAACGTGAGCGAAATTACATTTCTTAAACTGTCACAATATATTACGAAATTAATATTTTTTTTATATTTTAACATATTTATTTTTAATGTTAAGGAAAGACTTGTAATATTCAGATTTATTTCATTTCACAAATGCCATTCCTTTCAAACCCTTATGTTTCCTGGTGTCGAAGTATATATATATAAAACCTTATAATAGAGAACTCATTATGTATGTGTATTGTGTTCTGATATCACATACAACGTTACCACTGATATAGCTAACAAAACAGCTCCTTAAAACAGAATAAGCAATTAGAAACAGTGCATTAAAAGCTGGTGTGACGTATAATTTACGTAATATTAAGCAAATGAGTACGGCCTAGAAGTCATGCGAGGAGATCGATGGTCACTTGCCGTCTAGATAAGAGGAGATGAGCGATCGACCGACCTTATCGTTATCAGTGGAAGGAATCCTAGGCAGGAGCCGGTAGTTATACGACATTCGGTAAGAAGCCTCTGCGGGCGACACGCGACCCTTGAGGCGGGCACTGCGTATGCGCATTCGTTGCACTGTGAGGTGAAGATGCAATATCGGTAAATCATAAGTGACTCAAATCAGCCGGACTTTTATTAAATTTTATTAATAGTGAAGTGAAAACTGTTCGAAAATGGGTGAGTTGATTTTTTTATTTTAATAATTTATTAATTTTCCCAGGAGGAATCTTTTCATTAGTTGATTCGAAATTAAATTATTAATAACATTTATTAAATTATTTCAATCGATAATATTATTTATAAAACGTTAAAAATATTTAAATAATTATATGACGTTAACAAAAATATTTCAGTGAATCAGTTTTGAATATTTATTTATTTTTGCAAATTGAATGTCGCTGTGATGTCAAGTTCAACAATTTTGGGTTTCAATAAAACTCAACAATATCCGAGACCCATTCTTGTTGAGATAATATGAAACCACACGGCTGTCAATCAATATAAGACAACATCTCGAGATTATTTGTTAAGTTATTGTATCATCTGAAAAAAAGACATCGCATGACTGACTAAGACTGATTTTAAAATAAAACGTGCCAAATTTTTTTATTATTATCAATGATTTTGTTTTATTTATTTATTTTTGCAAATTTTTGCTCATTAATAATTTATGAATCTTTTTTGTAATGTCCTGCACTTTACTCATAATTGTTCTACTCTAGTTTATAGCTTGACAGCTGAAAAAAAAAATTTTTTTGGAGAGAATAAAATAGATCAGACGTAACTATGAAATATTTTTACTGCGTGATACGTTTTTCGTTTTCTTTATAGTACTTTAAATATTAGTAAATAAATTTTAAGTCACGGTTTAGTACTGTCTTTTGTTAATAAGCATAATGATTTTTTTATAGTATAAAAACCAAAAGAAAAGACTAGGAGCAAAACAAAATTTATTTATTGTACATTGCTCTATAAAAGGGATCTTTTTGTTAATTTTTCAGGGTTTTCATTTATATATTGACATCATAAGTATTCTTAAATTATAATATCTAAATTTGTATTTTTTAGATTTAAGTGGCGTAAACTTATATGACTAATATTTGAGAAATAGTATTTGTTTCTAATTTTCAGTGGCAATAAAAATCCTTTAAAAAAATTACGTCAACAAGGAAAAAGAAACCAATAATTACAGTTAAATATTAATATATTTTTTTTACTTCTATTATTTGAATTAAATTGAAGTCAAAAGCGGGAATTTTCAAAAATATATATTTATTAACTGCAAAACAAAGTCTTTGATTATCAAATTATTGATTATATAGTAGATATTAATAGTTTAGATTGAATCAAATGTATGAATATGCCGGCACTTGAAACTTAATTGTTGATTTAATATTACCGGTCCTTGAATAAACAATGCAACATAAAAGGTGTCTTGATATGGAGTAAAATGGCCATTAGTTTTTAAAAGCTTCAAATACTATACAATCATATGTAGTTTAAAAATAGATGCAAAAATTATATTTCTGAATACATGTAAATGTTTTAATTAAAGGACTTGCGAAATTTGCTACACTTGATATTTCTTAGAACAAGATTCAAATCTTCGACCTTAGTTTTTTTATGTCTATAAAGAGTTGCTTAGATAAATGCTCGCAATATTTTGTACCCAAGTTAGATAGTCTGGATGTTAACTATAGCGCCAAAAAGTACTCTATATCCGTTTACAAAAAACTGTTGATTTTTATATAAGAATTTTTAACCATTCAGCAATATTTATGTTAAATTAAAGACAGCAATACTTTTGCCATTATTATATCACTGGTATATTTATCATACTAAATATATAAATAATTGTGATTAAGTCGAAATTGTTTGTTTATCATCTGTATTACTACAAACGACTAGATGTGTCCTTAAAGGAACGTAGAAATCATTTAGTGTAGAACAATAGGCAACAAGAAAAACATAGGACAATAAGTTTTTTAAACCCAATTTAATCACTTTTTTTTAATACCTAGAAAGTAGGACTGATAGAAATTATATTTTTCTTTATTATATTAAATATAATGTATTTCGAAAACTTGCCCTTGACGCTGTTACATTGGCACAAGATGGCCGTGTCACTGTCACAGTTTGCCTGTCAAGTAAAGCCATATGCACACTGATAATAATGTTTAAAAATGTCATAGTGATTTATTTACAGCGTTAAAACCCTTCATCTCATTCTAAAATTGATTGTTATACAGTTCCAGTAAATAAAGCTACTTGAATAGATAAGATAACATCGAGTGATGGTTTATTTAGCTTTACAATTGTAGAGCAAATGATACAATTCATTACTTCAACTAGAGTATCATTTATTTTTAAATGCAAATTTTTATTCATCTATAAGCTAAATTACATTCTTTTAGCTGAAACTTATAATTTTTTTTTTTTTTTAGCTGAAACTTAGCTGAAACGCGACGTTTTGGTTACTTTTCAGCAACCGTGATCTGGCCACCTAACTGAATATGCGAAAAATATTCGTTTCATTTAAATGAATACCTACTCGGGAAAGTCTTAGATATCATTAGATTCTTTTAGTCTTAACAGAAAAATATTATTTGCATATATGAACATATAGACATTTTTAACGGATAATAATGTCTCCGAATTAAATAGGTATAATAATAAATTTTTCGACTCCTCAAATTATCACTTAATTGAATGAAATGTTATTTCAAAGTGACATGAAACAATCAGACATACATACCTGTTTGATGAACAGAAATATATCACGAAAGTAATAATAAGTAATATAAACCTTTTATATCGAAAAAACCCAAAAAAACTGATAAGGTGATCTTCATTCTAGAACACTTCATAACTAAAACACTTGTCGAACTTATACATCAAGTGAGAACTGCAATTGACAGCCATCTTATAGGATCGTTGACACTTTAATATTAATTCTTGTTCTTTTATAGCAATATAAACATATTTTTCCCATTCAAGTAACTTAATCTTAATAATCAGCAAACTAAAATTTCTCATCTTGCGTTTGCATTAGAAATAAAAAGACAATTATATATCCTATACTTTTAATATATTCAAATTATATCCATGTTAGGGTAATGATTTGGATCAATCATTTTTTATCATATATAGAAGATTACCAGTATATAAAATAAATTAAGACCAAGTACAATTAGTTCCAAGTTGACGACAGATGAATTCCAAATTTTAGGGAAAAATAAACCCTCATGAAAATTCTCTTAATACACATAAATAAATATTATTTCATTTGATACGTTGCAATTTTTCAACCAGATATACTAAAGTAAAAATATATGAACAAAAATTCATTTATTATTAATTCATTTTCAAAATACCGTCATAGAAACTGTTCGTATTACATTTTTTAATAAGTGAGGGTAATTTCCACTATTATTTCTGATTAGCTGACACATCGTAATCAATACAGCCTGAGGCTGAAGTAATGACGTTAAAATAATTAACAATTAATTCTATAAATATAATCAATCATTATTGCATTAATGTTTTAATAATGGATAAGTTGACATTTGAAGCCCATTTAACCGTGACAAGAACTATTAGGCCCGTTTTATCAGTTAAGTTGTGCTTAATAACAAGTAACAGTAGAAAAAGAATGCGAAATGTTTAATAATTTTATTTTCTATCACAGGTTTAGACTTCTTAGAACATGGAGCGGATTTCGAAGCCGCGATATCCGCAACTGGTGAGTGTTTAGATATTAATTAAAATTAATTCATAGTTGGAACTGAGAAAGACAATAAAAATAAAAAACTGATATCCTTTTTCAAGTCTGTCTTCAAAGAAGTTGGCAAGTATTACTAAGTGTACCTGAATATTTGTTTTCTAAGATAATTTATAAAGTAAAGTTTATAACATGCATTTTTTTTTGTTATAGGTTTTGGCCGTTTCCATTTCTGTCTGTTAGCGGTAACAGGTCTAATTTATGCTAATACAGCGATAGGCATTACCATTATTTCCTTCGTACTCCCTGCTGCGACATGCGATTTCAAGATGACATCCTCCGACAAGGGCTGGCTTACAGCTGCCCCTATGTTAGGTATGTTCTATGGAATCTAAACTTAATATAAGTAGAAAGTCAATTGTATAAATATCAATACATAAATGTGAACTGCTTTTTGAAGTTTAATTTAGGACATTAATGTAGCCGCATGTAACGGTTTTTCAGGTATGGTTATCGGATCTTATTTCTGGGGTTGCTTGGCTGATACCAAAGGCCGCAAGGTTGTCTTGGTATCCACCTTGCTAATCGACGGTTTTGTTGGAATATTTTCATCGTTCGTCCAAATTTTACCAATCTTCATGGCATGCAGATTTATCAACGGATTTTCGTAAGTTTTTAAAGTTTATAAATCTTGCGCTAATAATGAATTGCACAGTAATATTTAATGTTAAAGATTCTAAATACACAAAATATACATTTAATCGTGTAATAATGTACCATTTTTCATCGACTAGTGTTGCTGGAGCTATGGGAATTTGTTTCCCATACTTAGGAGAATTCCAACAAACCAAGTACAGAGAAAAGATCCTTTGTTGGATGGAAATGTTCTGGACTCTGGGAGTTATCATATTGCCTCGTAAGAATTCATTTTTATTTAATTAATTTGTAAATAGCAAGAAAATCATTATATATTATAGGTAACTTATGAATGTATGTGTTATATAATTAATCAATGATTTTAGTGATCGCGTGGGGCATCATTCCGATCCAGGGAATACGTATCGAAAGCGGAGGTTTCTCATACGATTCCTGGAATTGGTTCGTTGCTGCTTGCGGAATACCATCTCTGCTTCTGGGCTTCTGGCTCTTTACATTCCCCGAGAGCCCCAAGTTCATGATGGAGTGCGGTGACTACGATGACGCTCTCGCCTGCCTCAAGAGCATTTACAAACAAAACACCGGCGATGATCCCGACAATTATCCCGTATGTGTTTCATTTTAAGCTATCACTTATATCATTAAACTGTTAACTAATGACATCATAAAATCCTTTCAGATCAAGAGCTTGAAAGAAAAGGTGCGTACTGTTTCGGTAGCATCCCAGAGCTCTCAAAAATCCGTCCGTAGTTTGAGCATGCGCAAGCCTAAAGATCTGAGACGACTATTTTCCGAAATCTGGACTCAAACTAAAGCACTCTGCAAAGCACCATACTTGAAGTACACGATACTCACCTGCCTCATTCAGTTTGGATTAACTACTAGGTAAAATATTATTGTATTCATTATTATATAACTATTATTGCAGTACTTCATTTTGTTCATATTAATTTGTATAAAATTATAAATATCGTCTTCATTTCAGCTACTATACTCTCATGATCTGGTTCCCTGAATTGTTCAACCGCTACGAAGAATTCGAACATCGATTCCCCGGTACATCTGCTTCAGTTTGTGACGTCTCCGGCATTGTGGTAAAGGACGAAAACAGCAAAGATCCATACGACTGCGAGAAAATCATCGATCAGAGTGTATACACTCATACTTTAATTGTCGGTTTGGCTTGCATACCAACATCATTATGGTTGCCGCTTTGCGTGCACAAACTTGGTGCTAAGTTCTTCCTCAGTAAGTATTATTCCATATTCACTAAAACCTATTTTTGTAAACTTATGAAATTTTACATCATCAAACTACATAGGGAGCGATAACAGTTTGTCAATTATAAAAATTCTCATTTTATGATATTAATTAAGTTATTGCACGAGTAAAGAGAAGCGTTTTTATAGAGTGACGAGGAAAACATATACTAAACATAGGCATACTAATCGAGAGTTTTTTTACAGTTTTCTCGCTGGGTTTCGCTGGTGTAGTTACGGTGGGACTTTACTTCGTACAGAACTCTACCCAGAACTTAGTACTATCTTGTATATTCGAAGCCCTCACCTCGTTGGCCATCAGTTTGGTCTTCTGTGTGCTTGTAGACCTTTTCCCTACAAACCTTAGGTAAGTTACGTACGATATTTTACATATCGCAAATAAATGTACTTATGCGTTGAACCGGTGTTATCTAAAAATGTATAATATAACATTACACATATTCATGTTATTCATATAAATAAAATATGATTTCTAAGAATCCATTTGGAAGTTTTTTTATTAAAAAAGAAATTTTAGTCTAGATATATTAATATAATTGTTAATATATTATCAACAGGGTAATGGCAGCTGCACTCTCACTGACCGCTGGTCGAGGTGGTGGCCTCCTCGGAAACTTATCCTTTGGATACCTCATTGATATAAACTGCGTGGTGCCCATCGTGCTATTCTCAGCATTCCTGTTCAGTAAGTCTATGATTTATTAAATTATCGTTTAATCGAAGCATTATTTATATTTATAAGGTATAAAACAATCTAAATTAGCTCAAACTTTATCATCTTTTATAATTATTAGATTTAAATTTGTCTCATTCGTGTACAGATTGTATACTAAAGATATTTTCATATTTCAGTTGCTGCAATACTTTGCTTCTTCTTGCCAAAGACGGGACAAGAAGCACTCGACTAGATCCCCTAATTTATTCATAGATAGTTAGTTACAATTAGGCATTCAAATTAGTAAATTATAAAGGTGAATGTACATACGATGTAAATATTGTGGACTAAGTTTTCTTATTTATTGTCCGCTTTCGGCGTGTTTAAGCGGGGAGTATATTTACTTTACCGCTTACTGTAATTCAGTATTCTTGTATTGAAAGTAAGATAACAGTATTTTAGAGTTGACTGTGTAATATTGTCCTTAAATTATTATAATTGTTGTTAAAAGGTTGAATTGCCTTCCATTAAATAAATTGTTTTATTTAATTATTGTTGTTTTTATTTACAACATCATAATCTTAAATAGTGCTTGAAACTAACAGAATAAAGAAAGATAAAATATTTATATAATAAAAATTGCAACTCATTTTAGAGATTTTTTTTAGAATGGGGAATTCCAAGTGTTTTCCATTGTGATATAACTTATATATTTTTTATGCTATGGCTTGATTCACAGTAACATACACATATACTATGTGAAAAGTATGTTTTGCTTCTGAAACAATTTGTGTTGATGTACAGTATTCAGTCTTGATTCTTAATGTTCAGAGTTTATTCAAGTTATTTCCTTGAAAATGTCTAAAGTCAGTATTTATAATTTCAAATACAAGTTGATACCCAAGCGTTGCCATCACAAAATTAACATAAATTCAATATTTTAATTAATTATAAATAATTACAAAATTGGATTCAATTAGCAATCTATATTTTAGACAATATAACTTAAATTGTTATCCCTGCCTATAACAGGTCTAATTAATCAATCATCAAAGTAATTCTAAGGATTATAGTATGTTTAGTTATTTATTTTATTTGTAATGAGTACGGCACGGATGGCGCCACTTGTAACATTTGCTTATTGGATACATGTATCATAATTATTTATTTACTTTAGAAATACTGCATTGAATGGGAGGACCCATAACAAGAACTTGCTTTTGCATGTTAAACATTTAAAAAGTAGTTTTTCATTTATAAATACATTTAAACTGTCATCTAGGAAGACATATGAATGAAAAACTGGGAACATTATGTTAAATTTGATTGTAAAAGTAAAAATATAAAACCATTTTATTTATTTTTTATATCAATCGCTTAAAAAAATAAATTCCCTTTATTTGTTATAACTTCTTCTATTTTGTATTTAATATTCCAATAGTATTTTTTTCTATATATTTATTCTTCACCGCCTAAAAATTACTTAATGATAAAAGCCTTAACATACTAGAGAACAAAATAATTACTCATTATAAGAGAAGAAAATTACAGGGCATAATAATTTAGATATATATTAAATAAAGATACCAAGAAATAAGTAAAAAAACATAGAATCATATTCTTTATTAACCATCCAATAATATTAGCTCTTGTATAAAGCAACATAGTGTAAAAGTATTAATATAATGAAATGTGACAAATTTCCATTATGTACAAAACTGAGAGCATTACAATGACACAATTCTGTATGACAACTACAATACTACTTCGTGCTTTTAACTTTATGTTTTAATATATTTATTGTGAAAAGCTATACCATATGTCTAACTTATTATTACAATTTACATATATATGTAAAACAAAAAGTCTACAACCACAAATTTTGATCTATTCAAAATTCTAGAAATCAGAAATGTTAATCATATAGTAAAATATATATACTTCCTGGCAATTTGCTTCCACTATTTTAAAAATATTAAAAAAAATTACAATAAAAATAAAATGCAGAAATTTTTATAATATCATACTGTTATAGATACATTTTTGTGTCAATAGAATATATAAACATAACATAATGTGTAATCAGTAAAACTTATAACAATTAAGACTATGCGATCGTTTCAATAACCCACCTCAAAGGTTATGGTAATATGGGAAACTCTTTTTATATATAATAACTTCATTGGTATCAAATTATAGTTTACAATAATTTTATCCATCCACTGATAAATATATAGAATTATTTTCATACATTAGTGGATCAATGTGCCCTTTGCTAGGTAAAAAACTGTATTCATAAGCGCCAAAGCATTAATAAAACTTGGCAATACATTTGTTACCAAGTCCAAGTTATTATAAAGAGAATTCCATATATCTGATATCACCATAACCATTTAGGGTTGAACCATCACATAGTCTTTACTAATCCTAGCGAGAGGTCTGGGCTGGTACTTGTGGGAGTCCGAATTCGTCAACGGGCACACCATCCTTATTCCTGATGCTATCTACTCCAGGCTCCTTATCCGGGGCTGCGGGTGCTTTCACAACATCATCCAGATAAGATGAATCATCATCCAATGCTATCTCATCACCTGGAAATAATATTGACTGGTTAAAACGTGTATATATTATAAGAGTGAAAATTCCAGTTTTGCCATGAACAAAAATTTTATTCAAACATAGCTAGGAACCACTGTAAGGAAACTGGGTTTCAAATGCAAATGAAACCATCAAATATAGGTACATTTGAAAGCTACTCTGTCATAGACAGATATACAAATAGTGCTACCGACATCAAACTAATAACACACCTCTTTTGTGCCAAGGCTTAAAAATAATTCTAGTTTTGTCTCACAAATTAAATTTTATACCATACACATATTTTATGGGAATTTACTTAGAGTGAAAATCTCACAATAAGATAACAAATGCCTTGTTGATATCCAAAATAATTAAACTGGTTATTAAAGACTATTTTGAATTTGTTGTTCTATTCACACCAAATAGATAATTAGCTTAATAAATATAATATAGCTGATTTATTTTTATGTGTGCATTTTTGGTTTCTTTGCCTTCTCTTTTTGAATCAAAATACAAAAACTAGTTATAGTATAAAGAAAAATAATACTTACCGAGTGCATCCAATTCAGCTGCTAACTCATCGTCATCAATCTCTGGCATGCCATACTGACGACCCAGAGCCTCCTGCACTTCATCAGCTTGCTCTAACATATCCGCCAATTCATCATTTACATCCTGCAAGTTAATTTTAAATTATTATGATTTAATCAAATAATATCTTCCAAATTCTACAGTTTATTAAAAAGAATGATGCTTAAGCTGTTTTGCAAATAACAAAAAATGCTGTAAAGAAGTAATTTTCAAAGTTGATTCAGAAAAATAAAAGAAAGGCAAAAACAAAACTGGTATCATTAATTGAAAACACAAATATCTAGCGGTAACTCTATTTTTGACTAACTTAATGCTGGATTAATAATTCACAGCACGCACATGATCTTATATTTTTGACTATAAACTACATACTCCCGAGGTTTTGGCTACTTTACAGCAACTGTGATGACGGGCAGTGATTACAACAATCATTTTGCTAGAAAAACAAGCTATCTTACTTTAGACTGCAAGAATACTCTTTTAGAGTAGATCAGTACTTCAAGCCATTTAGTAATAAATTCAGAAGTTATGTGAGTGTAAATATAGCTTAAATAAGGTAAGGATATAAGTAACAGTTAAGTGGTAAGATTTTTTTCTATACTGAATAAATAAACTCACATCTATATCATCAATATTAATTTTCTTAAATTCCTTCTTCATAGATGACACACCGTCCTTCATAGCGGAGATGGTTGCATGTGTATCTTTAAGTGTTTGTGTTGCATAGTTTGCTTGTTCCATATTAAATGATTGGGATCTTAAGTTTTCCAATTGTTGCTCATACCTGAAATTTATATTTTTTGTGTTTATTAAATTAGTTAGAAATTACTTTAAACTTATATTAATAGACTTCAAGTAAGTGTACACTTGAAGTTTAATATAAAATAAGTAGTTTTTAAACATTATATATTGCTGTAGAATTATTAATTTATAATAAAATAATAATTGAGCCCATAAAACATACATTTTCTTTTGCTTCAATACCCTCATAGCCTTTTGTTTAACAGAATTTTTAGAAGGACCTTCTCTCATTTTAGCCATTTGATCTTTGTATTTTCTTAACTCAGCATCTAATTTCTGGACCTTTTGCTCTATATTGTCAGCTCGAGCATCAACCTAAAATTTTAATAATTGTTTTGTTAAATTTCGCATCGAAAAACAATGATGATTCATGAGCTATTAAATGATACTTACATTGCTTATGCAGTCTGATATACTGGGCCCTGGGGTTTTAGGCTTTCCTCGACCAAATAATCTATTCATTTTGGAGTTATTGAGTCTATTTCTTGAATGTTGTTAAATAAACTATGTTCGTATTAGACGTTTCAAAATTGCAGAATCCCCAATAAGAAACAAGAATCAAGATTATCAATTCATAACAAAATTTGACATTTACTTAGAACTTTCTGTCATTATATTGATGTCGGCAAAAGGCAAAAGTCTATAATTAAACTGCTTAAATTAATATAAAACACAAAAAAAATAATTTCATGTATATATAACAAATAAACGAACCTTAAAAGTGATAGAAAATATAAAATTAAGGTTTTATAATATAACTAAGAATATCCCTTCATTTTTTTATTATTGTTTTTTGCAATTATTAATACTTTTTTAATATTAATTCGTTTTACTCGTCATCTGAAAAAAATATGCAAAAACTGATTCTAAATGGATAAATATATTTATTTTATGGATGAAAAATACAATTACCTATTCTAATTTGAACATTGTTTTTAAAAAAATATTGAAAATTTACATTATGTACTAGTTTGCTTTTCGTATTTAAAATTTTAATGTTGTTTCAGACAAACCGAATTTTGTTCCTTTCAGAGAAAATTACACCCAATATATAATATTATATTATATGCGATCTGTCAAACTAATTCAAACCTAATAGAAGCAGTATCAAAATGTTTTGCAAGTCCATGTTTAATAAACACTCGTGTTCACGATATTTATTACTTTATAAATATTTATCGGTGTATGAAAAAAGTTACAGGTGCCATCCCTTTATTATTTTAAGCGGTAATTGTACAGACGTTTTTTCTAACCTATTATTGTTTTTTTTTAATTATTTTATTTTTTTTTATTGTTTTAAATTTGATAATATTATTTTTATATATATCTTTTACACTTTTAAAACGACATTATTTTGTACTGCTGAGATTAAAAATTATTTCATTGTTATATAAAAAGGTTATTAATTTTTTATTTCTGGTGTAATCAATAATTTTATAGATTTATTTGCAAATTAATACAAACATTAGAAATGTAATGTTAATATTTTAAGCAAGGAAACATTGATAGAAGCGATTCCTAAAAAGATATTATTAAATTGCAGTTAAATTTATTAATAATATAATGCGACTAGCAATATACATTTTGGAATATATTTATTTTAATATAATGAAATAAAATTTCCATTTTTGGGATTTCTTTTGGTATATAATAATTAATTCATAAATTAACATAAATACCACAACATATTCAACTATTATTTTAATTTGTTACTAAGTACTGGCCTTCAAAGCAATATAATCTTTTATTTGTCAGTATGAAGATTTTATAAAATTGTAAATAAGACAGTTAGGAATCATATGGGCTTATAGGGTTACTTTTAAAGCATTTAGAAATAGTATTTCCAGTATAATAATTTAAAAAATTGTAATGTTTTTAAAAAATATGCACTATTAATTATTTAAATTCTGGCTTATGTAATACAAATAAAAATCATTTAGGAATTTGTTTTTAACAACAAGAATGTTAAATGATGGATCTCAAAAAAAGTTTTATAAATAAAAATTTTATCTTCAGGTTGGACTCAAACAATATATTGTCAAATTTAAATAGGATAATGACTAGGAATTTAGCATTGACTAAGGTTTGTTTATCACATATATAAGTAGGTTTAGTCACTTTAGTGGTAATATGGTCTGGTTAAAAGTTTCAGATATAATACTTCAATTTCTTTATAGGTGTCAGAAAATCATACTGGTTTATCAAATAATATAATAAAATGCTGGAAATGGAATGTAAATAAAATACTTAATATACAGGAAAATAAGAAATATGCAATATTAATATTGAATTGTAGAATAACACAGAAGAAGGATATTATTAAGAGATTTTGGAATGAAGGTAAATTTTATATTTAACTAAATTTTATCATACATTAGTATAGTTTTATATAATTTTTATCTAGAATGGAATAGTTATATTTAAGGTGATGGCTTGTATGTCTGTTTGTTTAATCAAGTCTTCATACAAATATTAAGGAATGGTTAAATTGATCCCGCCATGATATCATTAATTTGAAAGCTAATTTAGTCGGTATGACTACATTGTATCCATAAATTCCTTCACTAATATTAAGGTCATTTACTCTTTATTCAATGGACTCAAATAATAGTTTAGGTATAGTTTTAAAATATATTTTTTTGTTCTTATTCTGAAAATAAGATATCTTGATTGTTAAACCATTAAAAAACTAAATGGTAAATATTATTCTTATTTAATTCTAATGAGCATGAAAAAGAAATCTTAATTAGTACCTACAATCTCAAGTCTGGCTTGAAATTTTGCTTTTAACAGTGCACATATCATGTATTTTATAAAATGCATAATATCAATATCATTGTTTGTTTTCATTAAGTCATATAAAGTTCAGTTTGGTGTCATTGAAATCTTTATCTTATATGACCTTTTATTATTTTTATAAAATTTATCAGTTACACTTAAATATTCCATTTACCAAGGACAAGTATAGGATGTATTTTACATATATGGCGCAACTTATCCACTATTCTAAATACTATAGAAATAGATAGAAACTTTGTTTATGGCATTCTTAGTAATATTATAAAGTTAAGGTAAATGACAAGCTTGTAGTTACTTCTCATTTAATAAGAGGATTTTTTTATAGAAGCCCATTCCATTATGATTATAAAGCTTTTATTTTACTTCATGATAATGAAATAATTTACACAAATAATAGTATAATTTAATAAATGAGTGTTTTACTAGAGTATAGTCCATTAGGCTTAAGCTGAGCTTTGCATTTGTGTGAGTGAAAGTAAAAGTAGAGTTAGATAAAAAAGTTACAGAATTAAATTTTAGTACATTTTAAATAGATACATAACATAAGTGCTATAAAATAAGCAAAACTTGTAAAAGGCCTGATGGAAATATTACGAATACGGAATATTATGTAAAAAAAATTATTGATTATAAAAATTTTTGAAAAAACTATACAAATCTTATTCACTTGACATTGCGTGTGCATCATTTGATATTGCTACCAGTACAAAAGGTGTAGTGAGGAAGGTGCGTGGCGGAGTAAAAGCAGAATAAACCAGTTCAAAACTAGAAAAGAACGTGGTATTCAAAAATTTGACATCACACCTACAATATCCGTGTGCACTCACACGAATGCAAAGCTCAGCTTAAATCAAACGCACTATAGAAATTTATAATTTATATATGATATTAATAGTTGTATCTTAATTCCATTCCAGCATCATTAAGAATAACTGTTGATGGCGGAACCTCACATTGGGATAAGTTTTTGAATCATTTATCACATGATGAACAAAAATCAATGAAATGTCCCGATCTTGTGACTGGAGACTTTGATTCTATAAGTAAAGAGATATTACAGAAATATAAGGAGAAACATTGTAAGGTAAATAAGGTAAACTGATAGTGCATGTAGATATGTAAATTATTTTATATATGTATAAAAATTACATTAAATAAGAAATTACTGTGTATACAGGCCTATATTGCAGTGGTATTGTGGTAATGGATTTCACTTACAGAACTTAAGGGTTAATTTATATTGCTTACAAAACAAATTATCATTTCAAATATACTGCAAAAAGGAATGTTAAAAGATATTTATGAGATAAACAAAAGACTAATTCATTATTTAACTGTAAAATATGCTTGATTTTTTTTGCCATAATAATACTAATAGTATGTGTCATAGACTCAGACTTACTTTATAAAAAGTTCTTTTTTTTAGACAAATTAGCTGTCACTGGTAGTTGTAAATTTGTAATTTTTTTGGCACTTTGCTTGATAAAAAGCTGTCAATGCCAGTTTAGTCAAGCAACATCAGCGTTTTGGTTGACTGTTTTCTGAACATTTACCGGACCTACCGGTCCTATCTAACTTTTTTTACATAACAACAATTCCCAAATAACTGGGCTATTGAACAAAAGCCTTGATTAGATCGGACATAGACACAGTATAGCATTCCGTGAGCTTCACACAATAACAGCATATAATTTCTTAGTCTTAACCAACTATGTAGTTAATGAATCTTTTTGACCATTTACTACTTGAACCCAACTTAGATTTAAGTTTATTCTCATATCCAATTTATTTATCAAACATTAATATTAAATTTTTTCAGATCATAAGCACACCTGATCAGGATTTTACAGATTTTACAAAGGCTATTATAGAGTTGAATAATTATTGTGAGGAGAATAAAGTACAGGTTAGAAATGCTGTTTATTTACTTTACTTTTGTTGTAGATGTTTACTAGTTAGTTACATAGTTCCAGGAAAAGTACCAAATCTACATAGACATGCTTGTAAATTGTAATATAATAGAAATTACATAATTAAACTCAATCTATATCTAAGAAGATATGATTACTTCGATATTAGGATAGCAATACGATTTTATTTCTTGTGTGGTATCAGGAATCTTCTAGTTCATATAACTAGGTGTTCATTGCAAACAGTCAGTCAGCATTTAGCAACGATACTCGTTATATAATATTTTATCCATTGGACACTGTTGCCAATGGGATGTTTTTTAAATTTTACTGTTTTTTCTTACCTTACAAGTTTAGTTATTTCTATATAAATCATTCAGGAAGAAATGACAAGGTTTGATGTTTAATACCGATAGTTAATAATAGATGGCGCGGAACATAAGTTTTTATAAAATTATTTTAGTGTATATTTATCCATCAGGAAATGATATTATTCAAGCCATTATATTTGTAATTGTTATGTATGTATGTTTGAAAAATTGTCATACTGAATTTAATACCTAAATGTAATAAATTTCATTATAATCACAAACAAGAAAAAGTAATTTCTGAGTATAAAAACTAAAGTACAAAAGGCGACTTTATCGCTTATGTGCAATTTATTCCATGTTACCTTTTGGACAATGACCTATTGAAGATGTGTTAATAAAATGCTTGTGAATATTTGATACATTAAAAAATTCTAATAACATTAATAAGTAAAGGAACAAATTTCAAGCATCAAAAATAAATACCATCACATATAATAATTATAATACATATAATATGTGATGGTATTTATTTTTGTATTATTATGTAATAATAAAGAATTTTTCAGATGGACTATGCCCTTGTGATGGCTCAGAATTCAGGTCGGCTAGATCAAATACTAGGAAACATTCAAACACTGCATCAGATCAAGGAAAATAGATTACTGCATCCACAAACTAGAGTGTACATGATGTCAGATGATTCTATATCCTGGCTCCTACATCCCGGAGATCATATCATAGAAATTCCCATTGAGAGTAGGAATGGCAATGCATGGTGTTCCCTTATACCAGTGGGAGAGCCATGTATAAGTGTTACAACTAGTGGACTTAAATGGAATTTAGGTAATTATAAAGAATAAAAGTTTTATTCTTAAAAAGTTTAGTTTTTAAAAGTCTTATGATTGTTTTCGTAAGGTTTTACCTTGGGGTATTAATAAAAAACTGTTTTCAAATGTATTAAACTACATAAAAAACTATCGATCCTTTTGATTACATCGACGCTGCAGGCCGATACGCACTCACACTTTTCATAGAAATTCAATCGAGGTGAGCTATTTGTAACAATATTATTCTAAGTGTGCGAAACTACAGTTGACTGACATAACCTTCAGAAAATCGCGAACTACAGAATAATATATACACAATACATGTTCATCCAATTAATTGGAAAGGTTTCTTTTTTTTTCAATTTTTTTCTAATTTTGCTATTAAAATTATAATTTGACGCAGAGCAATAATGAAATATTATGATTGTTTATTTGTATAGCGCAAAAAAAGCCTGGTACCTGTATATACTCCAATTTTCTAACCTTAAGACGAAATAACTTAAAAAAGTGTAAATTAGCAAAAACATAATAACATGAATGTTATATATAATCCCTAACACTCTTCCTCTCTCTCAATAATTCTCACTCGTTCTCCTCTCTCCCGTTCATTTGCAATATGCATTATACGACATTCGCCCTATCTCACTCTATCTCGCTCTTGCTCTATCTCACTCTCACACTATCCCACTCTTGCTCTATCTCACTCTCGCACTATCTCACTCTCACTGTTGCTCTATCTCAGTCTCGCTCTACCTCACTCTTAATCTTTCTCACTCGTTCTTCATTCTCTCGCTGGCTGTGAAGGTCACAAGACCTTTGATGTTTCTCAAAACTCCACACATAAGCCAGGACAAAGCGCTTCATGTAACGTTTTACCTTTCTCACTCTATCACAATCTATCTCACTATCGAAGTAAAATATCCTCCATTGTCGAGGCAACAATATTAGTACCGCACTCTATCCTTAAAAATTTGACGTCATGCGCGAAAACAAGTATATACGACGTTTATTTTCTAATTTGAAGCTTGAGAAAGTCGATAATGTTGTCATTGTGTCTCGTTAGAATAATATTAACTTAAATAAATAACAAAAAATAAAACATGCTAATAAATTTAAATTTAGGTCTCCTATAAGATTAACGGTTTTATGAATAAAAAGTTTAAAGAAATGAAGGAGAAATGTAATCACATTGGATTATTTAAAACCAGGTTATATTCAAGGACGTGTTCCAATTAAAAACTTTGTCTAGGACTCGAAATTAACAAATATTTCTTTTACATTTGTAAATTTCTTGTTGAACGTTAAAAAAATATAAAACGCTATGTTTGTAGGTAGCCTGAGTAAGAAAAACTTCTTGTACTCTTTTATTATTAGTCTTCCGAGGTCGATCGTGATCTATGCGTTGTTGGTACAAATTATTGTTTATTAGACATTCGCTATTAAATTCTTACGCAAATGCTTTGAAATATACTTTATATTGTAGCATTTGTCATATAATCATTTCATCATCTTTTGCAATTGAAATATTTTTTTATTTAATTCATATGTAGGTGTAGGTAGGTATTTTCAGACCTTTTATCATCCAATATCATTAACCTTACCTTAAACCTTGATTTAATGACTTAAGCAACGCTTCAGTGATATACACAGAAACAAGTAGGAAAATAATAATGAAGGAAAACTATTGATTAAAAGTAGCGTTTCTACTACTTCAATAAATTAAATAAAATCTTTTTAAAAATAACCTTTTATTACATTCTTTAATTTTAATGTCCTTTCTTTGCATGTCCATTTTGTAGACATTAAAAATAATTCGCCAACTTGCGTGTACCGCCATGTTGATTCTATGATGACGTCACATTTAATCACTCATTGTCAATCAAATTACTGCTGAACTGGAACGTAATATTTATTTTAATTATATAATTGAATAATTTATAATATTTCAGATAATCAAAAATTGAATTTTGGTGGTCTTATAAGCACATCGAACACATTCGACGGATCCGAACAGGTTAAAGTTAAATGTAGTCACACGTTGTTATGGTCTATGGAAGTACCAACTTTGATGTAGATTATGTAAATAGATTGTATACAATTTGTTAAAGAATTTATAGCATAGTTTTAGTTTTATAGTGATTAGAAAATTAATTCCTACATTTTAATTCATAAGGTTATTAAAAAGCCGCTAAAAGACATTTTTCCCGCTTTGATGCAAGTGACAACTGGTTAGCTTTAAAATACTGTCAAATATTTTTTCTGTAACAAAAAAAAATAAAATTTTCTTCACGTTTTTATTTGCTATTACATGTAAAAGTTATAGTTAAATACATTGTTCCTATATTTTAACATTTGAACACAACGGTTTTGTGATTGAATATTTTGGTGTGGTTTAAAGTGTAGTAATAAGAACAACAGTCGGCTATAAATCTATTAATGGGTACTTCATTTGCTTGGCGAATGGCATTTCGAATTTATAACTAACTATTTGGTACAATCGCCAATTATAACGTCGATAGTAAACAGTACCTAAGCCTATCGTGAGTTTGCATCGTCACTTACGAAATACGAAGCAGTAAATCTTTTCACATACTATGAAACTGTGTAATTAAATGTTTTAATATGTAACCGGCAAAGCCCCATTTGCAGACTCGTGTCAATCATAGGTACAGACTTCATTAGGGTTGTTACAGATGCAGAATGAAGTAAATTTATCATATAATAATATTATTTATATTTATTTCTTAATATGACAAGGAATTTTATTAACAGTGAGTATCGAATTTATAAATACTAGGAACATGACAACCCTATAAATAAACATTATGTACAAAAATATCAAAATAAAACAATGCTCTGTGTTAGTGATATTTTATTATTTGTAAATGATTTATACTGTAATTGTTTTATTTGTTCTTTCCAATGTTATATTGTACAATGAGCAATTTTATGTGTACAGATTTATTAAAAAATAAAATGTTTCTTGCCAATTAATTAGATTTATGAATTATGTGAATATATTGAATGAATAATTTTTCCACTATGATAGAATTGTTTATGAATGCTGTTAAAGAAATTATAAAACTGTATTGTTGTTTTATTTTAAAATAATTATTAATGACCACTATTAAAATAGTATATAACATCTAATCTATGAGATTTGTGTATTGAGTCTTGACTCTTGATGGTAAAAATCTTTAAAATATGTAGAATGTAGAATAATGTTTTGTACTTTCACTATAACATTAATATCAAGCAAAAATTTTCGACAATCTCAAAGAAAAAAAATTTTAAAAAAAATCGTTGCTATCAAAATGTACTGGACGTATTTTTTGCAGTTATTCCACCGTCTTGCTTTGATAGAATTACGAAATTTTAGAATTTCCTTCCTAACAGTATTAATTAGTATATAAATAAAATGAATATGGGATAATCATTAAAATTTAAGAATGACTTAAGTCGATTAATCCGCATAGCCTATTTGAAATAGTCAATTCGATATGGTTGGAATGCATTACATTAAGGCGACGTGTGCGATTGTTTACACAATCGGTCGCCGAGGTCACGGAGGCTGCTCAGGAGTAGCGCCGAACAGTGATGCCAACCGAACAGCTAAAATCACGAGATAGCTCTCATCTTCCTTATCAGCTGATACCTGAACAATAACTCATTCACGACACGCCAATACCGGTCGATGCGGTCATGTAAGTATTTTATTAAGGAACTGGTTTATTACCTCAACTAAAATTTTATGTTCTTCCTTCAATTATATGGTAAAACAATATTTATTAACCGATTTGCGGATGACCAACGCAAACTAGTATATCTGTTTTATGATCGTCGTCCATAAAACGGAGCATATTCAAGTCAACGAGTAAATTAATTTAACTATCATGAAGTTACCGCCTCGGTCACATGCCGCCAATAGCGGGGGCACCAACATTAGCGGCGAGCATTTAGTTTGCTCCTGCGCGTTAGTCGCGCTGCACGTTGTGTGGTTTTTCCATTGGGGATTCGATATTTGGTGCGTAAAATTATTTTTAATACTTTTTAAATGTTATTTATATTATTACAAAACATACTATGTAGCATTTTTATTAAGGTTTTTTGATAACTTGCACGTTAAATAGCTATACACATGCGTACTATGCAAATTGTGACAAATAACTTCACTGTAATATATGCAGTTTATTTAAAAAATAAAAAACGCGGCGATAAATTATTTTTAAGTCTGCTATCTGTTTATTGTGTCGAATTTTTAAAATGTATCTAATATTAGATCTTTAATAAGTTTATTCCTAAGTTTTCCTAATTTTAAGGACTTTAATGAAGACTTACGTATTGTTTACCTGTCTTAAAGCTAATATAGGTACATTTTTAAATACTAATAAGAAAGTTTAAATACTAAAAAATGTTTATTGGTAAAAAAAGTTAGTAATTGTTAAAACTTGATTCGTATAAGAACATTTTTGGGTCTTATGTGAGCGGAGGAGTCCGTAGAAACAACCTGATTCCCCTTAAACAGGCCCCTCGGACCTTTAAATTTATCGGGCCTGAGCCCGAGTAGCCCCCACTCCACTACATGAACATGTCACACAACTGGTAACAAATAACAATGCAAACCATTCGACGTAGAAGAAAAATGGAATTAGAACTATTTAAAATTCAGTTTGGATGTTAATTTATTAGCAAGGATATATAGCTCGTTTTTTTTTAATTTGCTTAATAAAAGAATGCTTAAAGAAGTCATAATATTCATAGTATTCAGCCTAATCATGTGACTGTTCAAGTACCATTGAAAGTATAATATTTTTGAAATGAACATAGCTGAATAGTGTGATGTCATGATGATTATATCACAAATTGAACGCGGTTGTCAATGTAACTCAACGTTATTCATAAATATGAACTGAATTAAGAAGTAAAGGAAAAAAAATGCTAAATATTACAAAGCTTTAAAAAAAAAGAATTGAAAATTGGAATATAAAATTTTCACACATTTTTAACACGTTTTTTAAAAATAATATCAGTGTGGTGAACAATATGAGTTGGAATTTTATTATAAAACATCGGTCAACACAGCAGTGTCAAGGAACTAGTCCATCATCATCCATAATCACTACACTATAGTCCCATGTAGCTATAATTTAGGTATTTATAGTCCTAGTATACCTAGGGCTAGTCATCACCTTCGTATATTAAACCAACCGCATTTGTCCATATCCGTTGCATCAAGCAATGCAAGGTCCTTATCAAGAATTTTCAAACCAAAAACTCATAATTTCTTTATGCATATTCTTGTACTTTTCAATTATTAACTATTATATAATTCTGCACTTGAGGAGTAAATACATCTTCGTCATCTTATCTGATGTCTGTCAACTCTAGCCATGATATATGACTTTTATCTCCAACTTTACATCACGTTCAAGTTTGTTTAAGATATTCTTATCAAATAACTAAATTTATGACAAATTTTCCAAAGAATTAATATAGATACTTGTAGCACAAAATTTTCTTTGGCACTTTAATATTAGGCATTTATTTAAATAGGTACTTTTTGAAGAAGAAAAAAAAAGGTACAGAAAGGGAATAAAAAGATCTATATTTTTTCCCTTAAAATACCAAAAAATATACTTGGTTTGGATAGCAGCTAGCGACATACATTTTTGTGTTACTTTTGTTAATTTTCTAATATTAGGTACCACTCACTGAGGATTTTCGTGAAATAGATTTATCTGTATCTATACCACAATTAGACATTTAAAATTAAATAATTTACATTGATAAATACTAGCACTTGATAGTTTGGATGTTGGTGTATAAAAGAAGACATTTAAACCGCGTTTCTTTTGTCAATTTGAACTTTTTCTAAGAATATCAAGTCTATTGTATTAGTTAATTCGATATATTGACAAAAAAAAAACCTCAACACGATTGATCGCATCTATCCCTGATAATTATATACAACATGGCGACATATAAATAAAATTAAAACATCTACTAAAGAGAAATAATTTCTCAAAATATATTTACGTGTGTTTTGAATATAAAAGAATATAAAAGTACGAAAATAGGGCGATAGAGAATACAATTGAAATAACTGATTTAAATCGCAATACAATAAACTCACGAGAGTGTGACTAACGTTTGTTTGTAAATATTTAGCAAAAGGACGTTTGTTACAATAAAACTGTTTACTTCGATAATAGAAATTTAATTTCTATAGATACTTAAATTAAACAACGTTAAACAATATTAATATACGAGCCAAGATTCTAGAATATGTTTCGTACGCTCCGTTTAACAAAACATTGGCTTACAAAATGTAACAATAATACATAAATTTTACTAAACCTATATTCTGTAAAGCTATTAATATCCTATCACCGTCTACCTGGTAATGGTATACTTCATCTAAATATAGAAATAACATACATACATTGTTTACAATTGCGTCGTCTACTTTCATATTGAAACCATATTTCTCGATATATATTTAGGTTTTAATATATACAAGATGTAAAGTATGAGAGTATTATTTATAATTTATCAGATTTTGTATTTTACACACAAATCCGCGTATATCAGAAACAAAATACTTGATGATGAATATTTTTTTAACTCATAAAAGCTATTCACAACCCTGCTTGATGATGCAAACTGCACAACCCTGCAATTTGCATCTTCCAGTTAAGTACTTCTGAACGTTATAAAGACTTCCGTGTATTCTTTTATTGATCATTAAGTTCTATTTCTTTAATAATCCTCATCAGGAAAGTTGTTTAAAGTTAGGGGAATGAAAATAATACGTTAGAATAACAATAAATGAATACTTGATAGTTTCAGTCAATATGTTATTCGTACAAAGTTACTTTAAGTTCCTTATCAGGTAAAAAAATCACAGCTTGTCCAAAAAAAAAAAACAAATATAGATAAAGAATTCTTACCAATGTTAGCTTAAATGATTAAAAAAAAACAAACGTATACGTCAGTGTCATTAATATAATCTATGGCTTTTATTCTGTAAATATTACTTAGTCTTTGTATCATGTAAAACCTAATTATATGAATTAAAACGTAAATATTCTCAACAACATAAGCGTATTTCACATTTTTATATATTGAAATGTTATTGTTATATGTACGCCATATTGGTAACAATTGACAGCAACATTTTAGTGCCAAGTTAACAACTTAGACGTAGCTGGCATTACATATAAAAATATGTAATAATATTATTCGCATTTAGTTTCTAAATAGCCATTTTAAATAAAAATAAACATGTACGGTTATTAAATGCCTACCACGTATCCGTATCTACCACAGTGCTTCTCGTTTCTCATTCAATAAATTACTTCAATACGATTATGTATTAATATATGAATGAGCAACTGTTAACGCTACGTATGTAGTATGATAGTGCAAACTTGGAGTAGGTGTAGTAGTATCTTTGAAGAAGTATAAAATAGTTAAGATAACATTGTAAAGAACAAAATATATGTAAAATTTATTACAATATATTTAGATATATGTAGTATCTAAACGGTTTGTTAAAATCTGCGAATCTGATTTATTTATTTTATCTGAACAGTTTATTATGACTCCAGCCACCTATTCTTATTTTTATTCGTTCAATTAAAGTTTAAACAAATAATTGTATATTCATATAAATCAAAAGAATTCGTATCGAAATATACTAATAATATTTAGAATTTTACCATAAACAATATAAATAACGAATTTAAATTGTTTAAACTTAAATTATATAACAACTGGATGACACCTTCCTTTATTTTGGTTATAAAAAAAAATAAAGAAATAGACTGTTATCGTCGAAACCATTATTTAAAATTTCAAACAACAGAAAAACATGGAATTGGAATACTTCATAAAAAACGCCAATTGTTGATTTTATAGTAAAAAATTCACTAGCCTTCAACTTCATGATTCAATGAATAAACACTTAAATAACTATGCCTTATTTTTTTTACGTCAAAGACAAATGATGATCTGCTTGTGTAGCCCACTTACAGCCGTTCCCTACTATATACAGGGTGACTGGTGAATTACTATAAATATTTGAGGAGAGTACTCGGTACGTGATTCTCATTCAAATTATGTAAAAAAATAGGTAGTTAATTTTTGACCAAATTTCCGTATAAATAAATAAAGTGTGGATACGTTCCAAGTGTTCCAAGTGTGGACGCGTGCGGCGGCGTGCTCATACAACACTACGCCGCCGCACTCGTATGTGTGTGTGTATACCTAATCTGTAGGGTGTTCACACGATGCGTAATTAATTACATAACTTTTGGTTAACTTTACTTAGAAGTTTATTTATTTATGTTATATTAATTTTTATTCTGTCATATATGATCGTCAAATATCACGTCCTCAAGTATCGATAGTAATTCACCAGTCACCCTGTATACAATAAATTAATTATATGTAAGTATGTAGCTTTCAATAAAATGAAATTTAAATACAGATTAATGGATTCATTGATATAAAATTCTTTGAGTTTAACAATGACCTTGAGAGACTTGAGTTATAGATTATCAGGTCCTAACTGAAGTGCAACACGATACGGGCAAGGGCGACCTACTCCGTGAAACATGACCTCAATAGTTTTTATCTCGAACCAACTTACGGAAGTTGAATATTTCGGAAATAAACATCCGAATTTCTATAACATTATTTAGTTACGAGTATTATTTTTTTATGATATGCTTATATTGTATTTACATATTATAAATAATAATAAAAAGATATTCAATGAAAAAAATTACCAAATAAAAAAGCATTCGATGCAGGATTTATATTATTATTTGATATTTAGTGGGCAAACCTAAATGATTCTCACTGTTTTTGTGAATACTCAGTTTGCGTAATATTACTTACATCTTAACACTACATACGGAGAGTTAACAATTTTTCATTCATAAATCACTAATATTATGGTATTAACGTAGGTTATTGTAAATTGGAGACGCGTCGTATTGTTACGAGGCATACTGATGTCAATTACTATTTCAATCAGTCGGTTTTTAATAATATAAAAGTACAGACTTTATATTTGTAGAATTATTTCAAAATATACGTAATTATAATAAATTTAATGTTTATTAATCCTCCATTCTTTTGACGTGGAACAAAATTTTATAATTGATTTTGTAATTAGTATGTAGGATCAACATAATTCAACAGAAACCATTTGAATTCAGTGGCAATAAATCTCGGTTAAATACTTTCGACTTAGTGTTAGATGTATACTTGAGTAATTTTCAATTATTGTGTCACATTATAAAAGAAGAATTTGTGTTTCTTACTCAATCCTCAAAAACTACCAAAGCTATTTGATCATTTTTTGTTATTTAATTAGCTATAACAATTACACAAATAGGCTGATTTTTATTCAAGGTCCTTTTATGATAAATCAAAAACACGCAAACGAAGCCGATGGAAAAATCTTGTATAATTTATAATAATAAATCATTGGTTGCATATACTCTAGTTTTCCTTAAGATTAAATATGTGTATCAGTTTCTTAGTAATTAATATTCTTAGCTATCGATCTCTGTGGCATACAATTTAACCAGTGCCCCTACAACGAGTATGCATCGTCGAAATATAAACAGACAGTCAATTTATTCACTTATAAATATATACATTTCTTATTCTTGAGTTATAAAAAGGAAAAATTGCAAAACTGATTTGATTTAACGATGCAAACATATGTAGTAGGAGACACATATCTTTAATTAAAAATTTGTTTTGTTTCTTGCAACAAAATCACTAAATATTATTAAGTATCACAATGTTAATGATTTAACATAGTTTCAAAACATGTCTGATATAATAGCTAATACAAGTTCATTAAAGCGAACACATTTCAAGTCTGCACATTCATGAATACATTAAAGGATTAACTGGTTCCAATACTGATCAAAAATAGATCATCCCGTTGTCTTACTTGAAATTTATATTTCTATACAATTTTATAATAAAGACTTAGTTATATCTTCATATAGGGATAATTACTATAATACTAATACTAAATATTATAAATAAGGATGTTTGCTACATAATTCTTGGTTTATTACTGTATAGAAAACCCATTATCAGAACTGAACGATATAAGTACCTATGACTAGATGTATATATATTATTTTTTATGTGTACCTCTTCACGTGGATACTGGATTGTATGTTAATAAGTGTATTATTTGTCCTAGATTAAAAGGGATATAGCAAGTGACCGTCATCATGGGGGCCATGTTCAGGAGTGAAGAGATGGCGCTCTGCCAGCTCTTCATTCAACCAGAGGCGGCGTACACCTCCGTCTCCGAGCTGGGAGAAGCAGGCTCTGTGCAGTTCAGAGATGTAAGTATTAGTTTTAAAAAGCCTCAAAACATTTTCCGTACTTGGAAATTGTCTCTCAACATAGTGTCAATAGTTACTTAATGACACAAATGCCTTTCTATCATAGCTTATAAGTAAAATAAAATAAAATAAATGTGATGTTCTTTTTCTGTATTATTTATCATCTATATTCTTCTTCATAAAAGTTTGTTTTGTATTCTTCTAACATTTGTAGTATAAATGAAAAAATACGTACATTAAGTGTTTATTTTCCTATGGTAATACATTAGACAAATATATACATTTGAAGGGTCTGTTAGTACATACTTAAAAAGTATAAACGGTACATACAGAAAATGCAACTTTTAAAATTTTTGTTTATCTGTTCGTTCTGGCTAACCTCAAGAACGTCTTGACCTGGAATGTCATTCTCAGGTAGGTAGTGTAATAAAGAGTAACGAAAGCTACTTTTTCACCAACTTCACAAAGGAGGAGGAGGTTTCAATTCGTCTGGATGTACATTACTCTATTATTCCTTCAATAAAAGGCCAGTTATTAATTAGGTTTTCCATTGAAAACAATCGTAGTAAAGTATTTCCACAGTATCCAAATTTTGATATGATGAAGGGGTCTTTAATTGTAACGGGTATCTCAAATGGGTATTAATCTGCGGGCATAGCCGCAGACAAAAGCTAGTATGGTATAAGAATAAAGGATACATAAACTTTACCAGTTTTAATATCTTGTAATAGTACAACAATATAACTACGAAGCTGTTACATAGGGTAATTTTAAAATCTTAATTTTAGCGTTAGCATTACACATGAATGTCACAAATCTTTATTAAGTAGTATGTACTTTTCACCATCCTTATATGATATTCCAAAAAAAGTATTTTTTTTATTACAATATAGTTTTTGCATATAAATCATAATTGTCATCGATAAAACTATCACTGAACAGTGATAATGGCCTTTGTACTGTAATCTCCATTAACCTAGAATCACAAGTGCATACTCGATCTACTTTGAAGTAATAAATATTTCAACATATCTTTTAACACGTTGTTATTAATGTCAAGACTTCTTTTTGACGTCCAACAAATATTTATTTAATAGCATTTCTACGATAGAAAGTATACTTAAGTTAGAGTTACACTCAAAACTTAAGTGTTGAACCTAAAGGAAATTTAAATGAAACTATATGCAGATGACATGAAATTGTTAACGTAAAGAAATTATAACTTAGTTTAACGTGTCATCTGTTAATGAATTTTACGAATAAAGTACGCTTACATGATATAGAGTACAATACTCTATTTTAGAGTACGGTTGGCAACCCTATCTGTACCATACATATGTAATGTTAGGTGTTTATTTTTGGTTACATATAGCATATTAATCTTAAAAATATTAGCTTAAAGAGTCTGGTAGGAGTGATGCAATAATTTATTTTTATTAAATAACACAATAGAAAAAAAATAAGGACAAAAAGTTATGTATACTTTTTAGTCCTACTCAATATTTTTTCTGCTATAAATTAGTTTACACGAAGTATTTAAATATTTCCTTTGATTTGTCTGTAAATAAAGTATAAAAGTAATCAGTAAGGTAGTACAGTCAGACATGATTGCCTTGCAACGTCCCATTTCACCGATCACGAGTAGCTGACCCTGGTTGCAAGGAACACGGCACAAAAAATGTGAATTGAACGAATGCCATATACCTTAGCGATGGAGGTTTAAACTAATGCCTTATACACACATTAAAAAACCTTTACCTAATTAATGTCCCTTTACCGTTAGTTCGAATCGTTTAATTTGATAGACAATTACGTTTCTCATTTACAACGATACCTACTGTCTTTGCGACAATTTATTAATTAAAATCCAAAACTGTCGGTATTTAGTTCCAATAGAACTGATATTTTGGAATATTATGCGTTATTTAAATGACATTCTCATCTCATCTGCCACGTCACACTGCAGCAAAGTAACCGAAACGTCGGAAGTATGTAGTTAAAAATGATAAAGATCTCATTATACTGGTATTATTTTGAATATGCATTTTTACTACAATAGCCAGTAACTGTGATTACTGAAAGTTACTGGACATTGGTCCAGAAAAATACTATGGAACACTCTCAATAAGAATTCGAAGTTGTGCAATTTTTGCAATTGAAATTTTAAACAAAATGTTTTATTCCATACATTTATATGAGAATGATTCATGCTGTGTAAAGCCTGATATCATTTAACGACTGTTTATTATAATTAGGTATGTTACTCATGCATTCGATGTTTGCTAATATTTTTAATTACCTTTTGTATAGCGTTATCATTAACATAACGACTTTTGCAGTTGTTATTCTTAATGTCGATCTAGAATTTTCATTTATAAGTAACTAGTTATTGGCCTAGTTGAAAATATAATTAATTAGTGCCTTATTACTATTATTAGTAATGTTGTCACGACAATCTGTAATTACCTCACGACAAATTTCGCAATGACAAAAAAAATCTAGAATGATATACGTATATAAAATAAAATTTATTATAAAAATAATTGATAATTTATAATCATATTTAAATTCCAATTAAAATTCCAGCTTAATCCAGACGTGAACGCTTTCCAACGCAAGTTTGTTAATGAGGTCCGTCGTTGCGATGAGATGGAAAGAAAATTGAGGTACATAGAGGCTGAGGTACATAAGGACAAGGTCAATGTACCCGCTGTTAAAGATATGCCGAGAGCGCCTAACCCACGAGAGATTATCGATCTAGAGGTATGTATACAATATTAGATTCTTCTTACTAATTATCGAGAAATAACTTACTTAATATTCTATGTATTTATAATAACGGGTGTATTTAATAGTCAATTATAATTATATTCCAACGATTAAGGCTTGAGTTGTCTAAATTTTTTATTCTAGAATGTTATACATTATAATTTCCTTTAGTAGGCAAATTATATAGAGAAGAATACTAATATGGGTTATTTAAAACAAAACACCAGTTGTTTTAATATGTTAAAGTATTATTTTTCACTAAGTATTCATCGTAATAAAAGAAATTATCGCTGAACGATGTAATTTAAAACCCATCAACATCTATTTAAAATATTCAAACTAGGCATGGAAAAAAACTTTTAACTAAACGCAAACTGTGCATATTATTTTGCTATGAAAATACATTTGATTAAAAGGAAAAAAAGGCAACTCTTAGTTAAACAATATTCCATTAATACTTTTCATATTATTTGTGTTAACTATGCTCGTTTTCTTCTTAGTCTTGAATCTTGAAATTTGATGACGTCATTGTTTACATTAGATCGCCATCCTTATCAATCGTTTAAATTACATTACGATCGATTCAGTTAAATTTTTTTTAAATTCCTATTAAGATAGGACTTATGTTTATATATTTTTACCGCAAAAAATAGTCTATATCATGTCTAATCAGCTATACTTCTATATGACTGTAATGATTAATTATAATAGGCATTAACTTAACAAACTAATCATTATAGTAAAGTAAATAATAATTTGCCTTAATTTAAAGGCGCATCTCGAGAAAACAGAGAATGAAATTCTGGAGTTGTCGCATAACGCGGTGAACCTCAAACAGAACTATCTAGAGCTGACAGAATTAAAACACGTGCTGGAAAAAACAGAAGCATTCTTCGCCGCTCAAGAAGAAATCGGAATGGATTCGCTCACCAAGTAAGAAAAAAATACCGTGAAAAATTCCTTCTATATATCAAGGTCGTAATTTTCTGTCTGAAAGAGTTTTAACTATAGTATCATCAAAGACTCTAAAGACTTCTCGAATAAAATGCCCTAGAGTAACGATTATAAGTTACTGTGGTGGTATATATGATAACTTTTTAGGTGGTAGAGCCTAGCTGTGGTTAGTTACTACAGCTCGAACACGGGCTGGCTCGACCGGGGAAGTACCACCCTCTCACAGAAGATCGGCGTGAAGTAGCCTTTAATGGCTGCGTTTCGTCCGATGAGTGAAAAAGCCGGTTGCCCTTTCCTTATTCCCACCCTTTCCTACCATTTCCTTATTCCCATCCTTTCCTACCATTTCCTTATTCCTACCCCTCCCTATCCCTAAAAAAAAACAAGGTTGGCAACGCATCCGCAACAAAGATGTTGCCCATGGGCGACGGTAACCACCTTCCATCAAGTGGGCCGTCTGCTCGTTTGTCACCTTTAACATAAAAAAAACCTCTTTATTCCAGTTCTCTCAAATAATATAAATCCCTATCTATCTCTGTAACATAATATGATTAACTGTATATACTTAACATTTTTATCCGGTTTCTCATTTCCAAGTCTATAACCAACCATATTGATAAGTAAACTGAAAATCCTTTTATTACTCAGATTACTATAATTCCTATGTGATTTCTTTCATACTTATCTTAGTTATGTTTGTTTCTTGCACCTGTAGGTCACTCATCTCTGACGAGGCCGGTCAGCAGGCGGCAACGCGCGGCCGTCTCGGTTTCGTAGCTGGCGTGGTTCAACGAGAACGTGTTCCCGCCTTCGAACGTATGTTGTGGCGAATCTCGAGAGGAAACGTGTTCCTGAGACGAGCTGAACTTGACAAGCCCTTGGAGGACCCTAATACTGTGAGATATTCTAATATCAAACTACCAATAGTATTATATGCACTAGTATATGACTACAATTTATCTATTTAAGGGAAAATATACAGTTTATATTACAGTACATTATTTCGGTATGGTAAAAACAATTTGCTAGAAGAGTTTTCACAGTAATGTTAAAATGGAATGTATTATTAGCACTAATTTAAGGTTTTAGAAAAAAAAAACTAAAAACAGACAGATATAACAAGAACATTAACAACAAGGCGTAACAAACATAAAATTTACTACAATAAACTTTTATAGAGAAAAAATAAAAATCAAGTTCCATAGCCCATTTTTGGATACAATAATATTTATTACTCTAATAATTTCCAGGGCAACGAGATCTATAAAACGGTTTTCGTGGCGTTCTTCCAAGGAGAGCAGCTCAAGTCCCGTATCAAAAAAGTGTGCACCGGTTTTCATGCCTCCCTATACCCTTGCCCGCCCTCTAACACTGAACGACTTGATATGGTCAAAGGAGTCAGAACTCGACTTGAAGACCTTAATATGGTAAATAACTTACACTTACAATTATATTCAATCTTCTATCATAGTTATGCCATATGTAAAAATTATGACTAAATGTACTATTTAATTCCAGGTGCTAAACCAAACCCAAGATCATAGGCAACGTGTGTTGGTCAGCGTTGCAAAGGAATTAGGCAGTTGGTCGATAATGGTCCGCAAGATGAAAGCCATTTACCACACCCTCAACTTGTTCAACATGGATGTCACCAACAAATGTCTTATTGGCGAATGCTGGGTCCCAACAGCTGATCTACCAAACGTGCAAAAAGCCCTAGTTGACGGTTCCGTAAGTATAAAAAGAGACAAATATTACTAAACTCAATATATATATTTTTGTAAAAATAAAAAAAATAGTCAGTGGTGGCCTAGTGGTGAAAAGGCCCGCCTGTCATGCTCGAGGGCGCGGGTTCGATCCTGGCCCGAGAAAGTACCAATGTGATTTTTCCGAGTCATATGTACTTTCTAAGAGTATTTAGACATCACTGATTAATGCTTTCCCAAAAAAAGGGTTGATGTCAGGCAGGCGGCCGGTCGAAAAAACGATTAGCCAAAACTATTGACACATGTAAGGCAGACCCTGGCTAAAGCTGGGAAATTGTCAGGTAGAAGAAGATATATATAAGAAGAAGATAAATAATGTCCTATTGGTAATATTAATTGAATATTTCATACCCAGAATGCTTGCGGCAGTTCTATCCCATCGTTCCTGAACTGCATCGAGACTGATGAAGTCCCTCCAACCTTCAACCGCACCAACAAATTCACTCGCGGCTTCCAAACTCTTATTGACGCCTATGGAGTCGCTTCCTACAGGGAATGCAATCCAGGTATAAAAAAAATTACCTTATACGCTGAAATATATAATTTTATTGATTTCTAGTTATATATCTCTGTGATTTCTACTAGATTTTTTGTGGTGATAAATTATAGGTCTGTTTTCTACCAATATAACTAAATGTTCCATACTATTGTTACAGCGCTGTACACCATCATTACTTTCCCGTTCTTATTCGCGGTGATGTTCGGAGATTTGGGTCACGGCCTCATCATGGCTCTATTCGGTCTCTGGATGGTTGTCAAAGAAGTCTCACTCGCCGCAAAAAAATCCAACAACGAAATCTGGAACATTTTCTTCGCCGGTCGCTACATCATACTCCTCATGGGCTGTTTCTCTATGTACACTGGACTGGTCTACAACGACATATTCTCGAAATCCATGAATATCTTTGGATCCGGCTGGTTCAATCCTTATGATAATGAAACGCTTGAAAGAAATGAAGCTTTCACTTTGGACCCTAAAGCTTCTTATGGGGACAAACCATATTTCTTCGGTATTGATCCTATCTGGCAGGCAAGTTAAATAACATTTAGTTTAGAAATTTATTGTGATTGACCATTTTATTGATAAAATAATTCTTCCAGACTGCTGAGAATAAGATTATCTTCCTCAATTCTTACAAAATGAAACTGTCCATCATATTCGGCGTTATTCACATGATCTTCGGTGTTTGCATGAGCGTCGTCAACTACAAGTAAATATATATTATACTTAAAGCTACATAAAATATAGGAGTATTTTTAAAGTTATTATAAAATTTAATTAATGTAATAAAACTGAATGTTCCTAATAGTTTTAATAAATTTACAGCTTCTTCAAGCGTCGTTACTCAATCTTCTTGGAGTTTCTTCCACAAATCATTTTCCTGTTCCTTCTCTTCGCGTATATGGTGTTCATGATGTTCTACAAGTGGGTGGCTTACAGCACGTTAGCTACAGGTCGGTATATTTTGTTATCAATTTGTCTAAAATATTTAATGTTTAATAAACTCATACAAACTTAATGAAAAAAGAGCTAAGTCCTGATCAAAATTCTTTTGAGTTGCTAATTATCTAACATTTTAGCGAGTATTCGTTACAATTAAACTAATATTTTCGGATTTTATTATTTTAAAACTACATACTCCCGACGTGTCAGTAACTTTGCAGCAAATGTGATCACGATTCACAGATCACGAGAGATCGGGAGTATGAAGCTAAAAAACAAAAAAAAAAAAGAAAATAATTGTTTTAAATCTTGCTTAAAGTAATCGTATGTTTCAGATGAGGCGTATACCCAGGGTTGTGCGCCGTCAGTGTTGATTCTGTTCATCAACATGATGTTGTTCTCGAGTACGGAACCCGAGGGCGGCTGCAAGGAGTACATGTTCGAGGGCCAGGGAACCCTACAACGCGCGTTCGTTCTGGTCGCGCTTTGTTGCATACCGGTCATGTTATTGGGAAAACCGTTGTACTTGTTGTGCGCCGCCAAGAAGAAGCATGACAAGGTAGGCTACATACGATTTCCATTTGTGACTTTAGTCTATGAAAAATATAGACTGTACAATCATAAATGAGAGATATATAGAGCTATATCACTATACTGTCACTCAAATCCCTACTTATATTATAAATGCGAAAGTAACTCTGTTTGTTTGTTATGCTTTCACGCTTAAACCACTAAATTGATTTTAATGAAATTTGGTACAGATATAGAGTTGACCTTGAGAAAGAACTTAGGATAGTTTTTATCCCAGACTTATGGAAGGTTCTCTAGGAAACGCGTTATAACCGAACTCCACGCGGGCGAAGCTGCGGGCGGAGCTAGTATGGTAATATTTTAGAAAATTTACAGTTTAAATATACCATTTATTTATATTCCAGCCGCAATCAAACGGTAGTGTGAACCAGGGCATAGAAATGCAAGAACAGACTGATTTAGAACAACAGCCAGCCCCGAAGCCCGCGTCCGGCGGACACGACCATGATGATGAACCGTTCAGTGAGATCATGATCCATCAAGGAATACACACCATCGAATACGTGCTCAGTACAATCTCCCACACAGCTTCGTACCTACGACTATGGGCGCTGTCACTCGCTCACGCTGGTGAGTTATAGTCAAACAAATTATATTACAAATAAAAAAATGTATGCATATGAAAAATATTTTTTAGTATTAAATTACTTAAATATTTGGAGTAAGGCAAAAAAGTATTAAGTTCTCAAAAAATAAGTTCTAATTTTAAAAAGGTCCAATTTTATCAATTCTTCTACGTATTTGGCTGGGTTGAATTAAAACTACAATAAGTTTAGGACCTTCCAAAATTTGAATATATTACAATTTTTGAAACAGAAAACATCAAAAATATTAATTTCAAGTTAAACTGTATTACAGAATAAAGACTCCTATTAAAAATTTAAAATAACTTAATATTGATTTTGTTTGTTAATGTAGAGTTATCCGAGGTGCTATGGAACATGGTGCTTCAGTTCGGTCTCAAGGACCACAACTGGGTGGGTGGCATCAAACTGTACGTGGCATTCATGTTCTGGTCTCTCTTCACACTGGCCATTCTCGTCATGATGGAGGGACTTTCAGCTTTCTTGCACACGCTGCGTTTGCATTGGTTAGTTTATTTAAATTACACCTTATTATTTAAATTTTAAAGTCGAATATTGCATACATTTTAATATATTTATAACTATGATCAAATTTCGTACTTTGGTTTGTAACTAATTGAATGTTACCTTATTGTTTATAGCCTTAAAGTTGAATGTCGAATACATTTCAATATAATTATAATCTATAATAAAAATTTGTACCTTTTCTTTATAGACTATGCAAGTTTTATTGAGTAAAGTTTTATAGAATTACACATTAATATATTTCATTGTGGAATTTTAAAGAAAGTTACAATTAATTAATATAAATTGTTTCCAGGGTGGAATTCATGAGCAAATTCTACGCTGGTTTGGGATACATCTTCCAACCGTTCTGCTTCAAGACGATCCTCGAACAAGAGGATGAAGATTAATTAAATTTCCGATCAATAATATTTTGAACTAAAATGTAGTTTAGTTATGAACAGTATTGGCATAAAATTTTATGCAATAGGTCACAATGAATCGTTAAATAAAATATTAATGCATGTTCAACGTTTTTTAATTACACATATTTTGAATTTATTCTAGAAATCTATAAGCAGTTCCATCCATCTCAATAAAAGAAATAGAAATAACATCATAAAGGAGATCTTTCAGGTTTCGTACATTTTTGGGCCTTTTCTGAAAGTGCCGGCCAACAAAAAAAAATGGTACATATTCTTAGAACTAACCATTTGGAGCAATAGTTAATATGGCGCAAAAGTTGTAGGTTCCAAGATATAGAAGTTATACAAGTTCTATGATTCATCATTTTCGTACATATATTGGTTTCTGAAAGTGCCAGAAAACAAAATAATGATTGATATTGCTAGAGTTAAGCTTCTCAAGCAAATCGTAGCGAGAAAACCATAATCACCTAAATAAAACGTAAGCAGCCTGAATCACCTCCGCAACAAGCGGACAATAATCGCAAATTGGCAAAAATGCATACAGGCGATTCTAACGCACGTTTAGCTTCAATTTTTAAAATACTTTCGCCGACTAGCCGATTAGTCGGTTGTAATAAGACCGACGAGTCGGCTAAGCCGATTACGGTTTCAGGGCTTTCCGTAATGCTTCGTTAACGGCTGTGTCGGAAAATGTTTTGTTTACTTCGCATTATTCTTTCATTTTTACTTGTGTAATGGTCGAGAGCGATGTCGTTCGGTACCGAGAAAAATAATTAATAGACGTGCGGTAAAATAGTTTGTTAAATACAAAGTTTTTACAACTTGCAAAACATCTGTATAATAACAATTCTTTTAAGCCATTAATTTTATGATATTACAAGCAATTTTATTTTTAAAATATTATATTTTTAATTTTTACTGTATTTTCTCTTTACAAATTTTAGGAAAAGACTCTTTTATCTAAAAGACGCCTATTGTTTAATATTGTTTTGACCCTCATAAACATCGTTTATGACCTGAGTAAAGAGAATGAGATAAAGAAATAAATCCCAAGCTAATTGATCCACATGGGTCCCTAATGTTATCTCACACTGTCAAATTTATCTTTGACAAAGTTATAATCAGTCTACCAAAAGCTGTCGACCAAAACAGTCTACCGAAACAGTCAACCGATAACCGTTAAACAGTTCACACCTACAAACGATACGAAACTGTAATTTCAAGTTCACTATTTAATGTATTCATTTGTGCATTAGTTAATTTTCGTTCGTTTTTATGAATAAAGAAAATTAAATTAATGTGTTCGTTATTAGTTTAATTTAAAATTAAAATTTAATGATGTCAAAACGAAAATCTCGTGTATGGATGTTTTTTGAACAATTGGACAATGATTCCCGTAATGTGAATTGTGATAATTTCTCGTGGTGGGCAAGGGAAAACAGCTAACAATACAAGCATGAACCACCAACCCTGTTATATCAATTAGGTTCTGCTATCAAATCTTCAAGCAGAGACGATTCCACCAAGTCTCAAATCTCAGCAGAAGAATTACCTAAAGCAGTGCTTACTCCGTCAACTTCAGTGTCATCAGAGGTCAGTTTAAGTCAAGAAAGTCAAAAAAATATTGAAGACAAGTTTCACTATCCACTGGTCATATGAAGACTCAAGATCAAGAGAAATCAATCTTGCGATAGGTGAAATGGTTGCACTTGACAACCAGCCGTTGTCAATTGTTGAAAATACAGGCTTTAGGAACCTGATGAGGAAAGTTAAACCTAAATATAATATACCGGGCAGAAAGTATTTCACAGAAAACATCATTCCTCAACTTTACGAAGAGACTAAATCTGAAATACGAAGAGGATTGATAAGTGCAACTGCAATTTCAGTTACTACTGACATGTGGACAAACATAAATAAGAAGAAAGTTTTTTGAGTTTTACAGCCCACTGGTTAGACGATAGTTTCAAATATCACCACGGAGTATTGCAAATGAAACATTTTCCTGAAACACACACCGCCAATAATATCAAAAATTGTTTAGAAGAAGTTCCAACTTTATGGGATATAGATACGACCAAAATTCACGCCGTGGTACGAGACAACGGCAGAAATGTGATGAAAGCAATTGACGATTCAGTTTTTAAGGGAGTACCATGTTTCATACATACTCTTCAACTGGCTATTAATACCGTTTTGAAACATGATACCATGGCACAAATACTAGTAAAATCGAAACGAATAGTGACACACTTTAATCATTCTAATCAAGCTCAGTCAAAACTTCGGGATATGCAGCAAGAACTAAATTTATCACATCACCAGCTTGTTCAAGATTTATGTACCAGGTGGAATTCCACATACTATATGATATCTCGCCTCTTCGAACAAAAACGAGCTGTTTCCTTGTACCTTGCTGAAACATCAGTAAATTTCGAAAATTTGTCTAATGAAGAGTGGCAAATACTAGGAAAAAGCATCGAATTACTAAAGCCGTTTGAAGAGATTACCAAGATAATAAGTTCAAGTTGCTCATCAGTATCTGAAGTAATACCTCATCTGAAAACCCTAAAAAAATATTTAGAAATGTATTATGATGACAACAAAGAAATCTTGGAAATGAAAGTCCTACTGGAAAATGATTTGAATATTAGATTCGACATGGACCATAACAAAATCTTCACCTTGGCTACATTGTTGGATCCAAGATACAAGCAACAGTTTTTCGAGGCAGAGGATCTCATCACCATTAGGTCCCAATTTTTCGTAGAATCTCTGAAGAATAGCATGAGTGATGACGACAGCGACAGTGGCAAAGATGATTTACAGAGCACCTCCACTGATAAAAATAATATAGAAACAGCAACACATAAGAATTTTTGGAAATGCTACCAAAATTTTGCATCAAGAAAAATACAAGAATTTCAAGATGACAAGTCAAGCTCAGCTCATGAACTGCAGTCCTACTGTGCGTTACCGGTGATAAAGCGTAATGATGACCCATTTCAGTGGTGGAGCCGCAATAGTTCTAGGTACCCTGAAATGTCGCGCATGGCCAAAGTGTACCTCTGTTGTCCCGCAAGTTCTGTTTACAGTGAGAGGCTGTTCTCAGAGGCCGGAAACTTATATGAAACAAAAAGAAATCGATTGCTACCAGACAAGGCAGAAACTTTAGTCTTCTTACATCATAATTTACCCTTAATTAAAAAATATAAGTAAGTTATAAAAAATATAAGGATAATTGTGATTTTGATTTGATTAGGTTATGATATAAAAAAAATATATAAACCTATTTCTTATAACCATACCTGTGTTATAAGAAATATGTTTTTTTCATTTTTATCAAACAGTTCATGTTTAGAATTTTTGGATATACATATATAATATATACATATGTTACTGTGCATCTTGTACATACAATCTTGCTTTAATACATATAACTGAGTTTGTTAATTTAAAAAATATACTTTTTATTTAAATAATGAGAAATACTTATAAATGTTTATTGAAGATAAGAAGATGTTATGTTGTTTTTATGTTAATTAAGTAATTTTAAAAACTGTTTGTCAAAGAAAAGTTTGCTTTACATTTTTCAATGTATAAAACTGATGATAAAATAAAAAAATATATATAACCAAGGTTTTCATTTCATGTTATTGATAAATACACACAACGTAAGAAGCCGGATAGTCGGCGTTCTTTGTCGATTCGTCGCCGACTACAATAGTGGCCGGATAGTCGGCTTTACCGACTAGTCGCCGACTAATCGGAACATCTCTACTTTTAACTGATTTTGTACCATTTCGTGTCGGATTTGATCATATGAAGCGAGAGCAAGTGGCGCAGAGGAACCTCATTGTGCCAGAGCGATTATTTGGCAATCCTGATAATCCAATCGAAGAAAGAAAGGCCATCTCTATACTTGATGGCACTTACATATATTTACAAAAAAGCACTAATTACTTTTTTCAAAGAAAATCTTATAGCAACTATAAGTTTTATTGCCTTTGTACACAATAATGTTTAGAAAATAACCTTTGTTAATTATTCAGCGCAATAAAGTATATATATAAGTTTCGAAATCTTTTAAAGCCTTTTTAAAATGTTTGTTGCAATGGAACCACAATAGCGGTAGATGGACCAACGCTGCAACAACCTCCGATGCCCAGATTTTAAATGATGCACTGAATAATGTGGATGGTGTATTTCACTGGTTTTACCGGCCTGGTGACATTTTTATATTAGACCGTGGTTTTAGAGATGCTATAGAAAATCTGGTGTCATGCTGTTATGTGGCACATATGCCAGAAACAAAATACCAAAATGAAACAAAGCTTACTTCTGAACAAGTAAATAAATCTAGGCTTGTCACCATGTGCCACTTTAAAAGGGACTTTCGTTTACTCAGAAATGTTCATAGTAACAGAGCATTAAGTAATATGTTCGATTAATTTAAGATCGCGGCAGCATTGCTGAACAGCTATCACGTTATAATAGACAATAACGTACACGCACGTGATTTTATTGATATAATTAATGAACGAATAAACATACCAAATCGTTTAGCAGACATTGTCATTACAAATAATTATAACAGAGGAAGAGCTCATTTTGAGCCTATGAGAGCCTAAATGCCTCAATTTAATGACTTTCCCAGAATGATAGAAGAAGAATTGACGCTATTTACTTTAGGTAGCTATAAATTTAAGCAAGCCCGCAGTTATTATGCTGAACACGGACATCCAGAAGGGGCATTCACTATAGAACTCGCCCGAAATATCCCTCTGGAAATTCGGGAGATAGCTGAACGAGATCTCTTATTAATTCGAGGCCGTATTCAATCAAGGCACGTCGCATCAAGAACGTATTATGTGTACATTGCAGCCGATCCAACACTTCGTGGATGACTAGCTATTCCACAATATTATTGCTCATGCCCAATAGGCAAACGGACAATAGGGTGTTGTTCACACACCATGACTATCGTGTGGTATATGGGTTTCGCACAGTATGAGAACATACGTGTACAAGCATAAGGACTGGAAGTTGAAATTATAACATTAAGAGATGTATAATTAGAAGACTATAATTGTGATGTTTTTTGTAATAAAAAAAATACGTGAACCATTATTTGTATTTTACTTATATTATCCTAAAATATACATTTAGTTATACATAGAATGCTATATAACATTGTTCTAATATATAAAAATAACACTCCGATATACATACAGTGAAACTTGGTTAAGTGGGACCTGGATAAGTGAGAAACCTCCATAACTGGAACTCATGCTGAGGTCCCAACACTTTGGCACTGAATTACCTCTGTTAGTGGGACGAGGTAAGCCTTTATATCTGGGATTTGTTCTTTCGATTTATCATCATAGTTACCTTTATAACTGAGACAGCGAGTAAATTTTATATGCATAAACCTCTGTAACTGAGATAACATTGTTTGTTTACTCATTCTTATTCTACCCACAAATTCCACACGTAATTCCAAGTTTATTTGAAAAATGCCAAAACGAAAGCTACAATACTTATCATTACGTGAAAAACTGAAGTTAATATCCGTTTATGAAAGTGGGAAGACACGCGAAGAAGTTTGTGCCGAATTTAATGTGCCAAAATCGACTCTTTGTAGAATAATTCAGAGTAAACATAAAATTGAATCACAATGTTCTGAAGGACAAGGCAAACTAAAACGTGTACGTTTATCAGAATATCCTGAACTTGAACAGTGTTTGCTAACAAGGGTCAAGCAACTTCGTAACAAAAACGTTCCGGTAAGTGGACCGATGATTAAAGAAAAGGCACAAGATTTCGCGCGAAGACTCGATATTCATAATTTTTGTAGCAGCAATGGTTGGATGGAAGGGGTTAAGAAAAGAAACGGTGTAGTTTTCAAAGCAATTTGTGGAGAAAGTAACGCCGTTGATGTGAACAAATGTAGCCAATGGATTGAAGACCTACCACTTCTATTACGCAATTATTCTGCTGATGATGATATTTTTAACGCAGACGAAGCGGGTTTATTTTATAAGTGTCTACCCGATAAAACTTTTACCTTAAAAGGTGAGTCTTGTCATGGCGGGAAACTTAGTAAAGAGCGCATTACAATACTTCTAGTTGCTAACATGTCAGGAACTGAAAAGTTGCCTATCCTATTAATCGGAAAATCTAAGACTCCGCGATGTTTCAAAGGTGTTAAAACTTTGCCTGTGAATTACCAAAATAATAAGAAGGCATGGATGACATCCATTATTTTTTCTGATTGGTTGAAGAATTTAAACCAAGAAATGAAAGCCCAGAAGCGAAAAATTTTAATGTTTGTGGACAATTGTACTGCTCACAATAATATGCCCGAGCTAAGCCACATTAAACTCGTGTATCTGCCTGCCTGCGAATACGACAAGTAAATTGCAGCCAATGGATCAAGGCATCATCAACAATTTCAAAATTTATTACAGAAAAGAGGTTGTTCAACATGTTATTAAATCTATAGAAGACAATCAGTGCCCACAAATCGATGTTCTTCAGGCGATGAGGTTTGCTAGGAAAGCTTGGTTTTCTGTGACCAAAACTACTATAGCAAGCTGCTTTAAAAAATCTGGATTTAAATCTGAAGTAACTGTAGCTGAAAGCGGAGCAAGAGGAGGACGAAAATTTAAAAACAGATCCTGAAGATTGGAACTTAGCCATCAGCAACGACAATAATCAACAGCCAACATTCCAAGATTTTATAAACGTCGATGACGGTTTAATAGTTTCAGGAGAACTTAATGAAGGCGACATTGTTCATGCCTTCTCGTCTTCTTCATTGGAAAATGAAGAAGATGATGAAATGAGCGCGGAAGTAAATTTAGTAAAAATTTCTAAACGCGAAGCAGTAAAAGCACTAGAAACTTTGCACAGTTATTTTGAAATGTCATCAATTGGTGACCAAAGCATATTTGATAGAATTTATAACATCGAAAAACATCTGATGGCTGATACTTACAAACGACAAACTAAAATGACAGATTTTTATAATTGATACATTCTGTTTCCATACTCGTACATATTACGTGTAAAAACGTGCTTGAATATTTTTGTTGATTACATTTGTATGATTACCTTTAAGTACATATTACGTGTAAAAACGTGCTTGAATATTTTTGTTGATTACATTTGTATGATTACCTTTAACTTAAACCTTTTTATTAAAACTCATTTACATACATAACATACGTAGAAGACTATAATTGTGATGTTTTTTGTAATAAAAAAATACGTGAATCAGTATTTGTGTTTTACTTATATTATTCTAAAATATATTTGTAGTTATACATAGTATGCTATATAACGTTGATTTAATATATAAAAATGACACTCCGATATACATATTAGTTTAGACAAATAATAAAATCAACAATAAACATGGATGCGTTCAGATACTGGGCAAAACAACGTCTGTCGGGTTCGCTAGTATTACATAAAAATGACAGGTTTCTAACATGTACAAGAGAACAGATTATGGCTTTCTCGTTATAATGATTTGCTTGAGAAGCTTAACTCTAGCAATATCAATTATTATTTTATGTTTCCTGGCACTTTCAGAAAATAATAAATGTACGAAAATGAATCATAGAACTTGTATAATTTCTATATCTTGGATCCTACAACTTCTGCGTAATATTAACTATTGCTCCAAATGGTTAGTTCTAAGAATATGTACCATTTTTTTTGTTGGCCGGCACTTTCAGAAAAGTCCCAAAAAGAATGACCTCCTTTTACAAAATCTTAGTACAAATATATCATATAACCATTCATGTTCTCAAATTGGACTTAGCTTTTTCTAGAATTTCCTTTTTTATCTTGGGGTAGTCCGGATGAACTTTTAATATATGTCTACACACAACTATACATTCCGGGTATTTCTTCAGCTTGAGGTACGCGTATGCTAGTTTGTATCCAACAGCCAAATCATTCTTCCCCGTATATTTCCAAGCGTTGTCATAGTTGAGGGCCGAGCTCTTGTAATTCTGTTCCTTTTCTGCTAAGAATCCTGTAAATTTAAAACGTTACATGTATAGTTACATATAATTATGATAGTTTTTTAGTAAATTGAAATTTTACCTAAATATTGATAAGCTTGAGCACAAGATTTATTGTGATTGAGAATTTTTGTTAAAATCTCTTTTGCGGCATCCATTCTCCCTGAACTTATTTGATTATCTGCTACCTCCAACCAACATCTGAAGTAAATACAACGTGTTATAAGAGCACGGATATATAATATTAAATTAATGTAAACGTAAATAGTTATTGAATCACAGATCAAAAACACAAACTATTAAAACTATGTCTACAGATTCTGAATTATATTCTTTAAAATAATTATTCCCAAAGAGGGTTGATGTCAGGCAGGCGGCCGGTCGTAAAAACAATTAGACAAAAACTATTCACAACATGTAAGGCAGACCCTGGCCAAAGCTTGGATATTGCCAGGTAGAAGAAGATTCTTTAAAATAAAGAATCGTTAAAGACAAGTCTATTAACATTTGTCTCGTGACCAATACTATTAATGTCTCATACATACTTAGGCAAAGAAAATTATATACTGTACTCTATAATATTTAAAGCTTTATTTACCTCTCTAAGCCATCCGCTTTCTCAGGCGTCCAAGGAATAGAAGATATAGTTCTCTTTAGAATGTTCTTTGCTCGTGTTGGTTGTTTTACAATGTTATACCTACAAAATGTAACATATATGTATTTGTTCTATTTCTTCAACATTCGCAAGAACAATATTTGGGATTTTCATTGTTATTTAATATATTAGAATATCACAAAAAGATCATTCATCATAAAAAAATTTAATTCTTAGGACTCATTTAGAACATTTGTATTTTACATATATTTCTGTTTACAGAACATTTTGATATCATTAAAACACAAGAGAAGCCTTAAAACGTACAAAAACTAATATATTTTAAAATAATCTCAAACATTATCAGTACTCAAAATGAGATACGGCTGATTTTGATGATAGGACCAATAAAACCGATGAAATAATAGCTTATTGTACAAAAAATTCCTCTCACGCATTAGCAATGGCCAGTATAATGTATGGATCATCTTGGTGTATATCTTCAGTCACTAATGGTAGGAGTTCTTGTAAAACTCTCTCCGCTTGTGATTTTTGCCTCGTTGCCAACTGTAGTAAAGCAGATAGTGACCTACGCTCGGATGAAGATACTTCGTTCAAAAGCTTCTCTGCTGTGCGAAGAGCTAGCAGATGTGTATCACTACAAAAAAAAATATTACGTCGATATAGAGAAACAGTTTGTTTTGGGATGTTTTACTTCTATAAGTCGCCAAAGAAATAAATAAAACCAAAATCAGTTAACAGAGTGTCATTGCAAATAGTCGAAACATAAGTTAAACAATCATATCTTGTAGTATAATTATTACTAAACGATAAATCTCCTTAATCATAACAATATATTAAAATAACAGAACCAAAACAAATATTGGTATTTGGTGAAGTATGAAATAAACCAAAAAAAATGGGGTCATTTCGAATATATATTAATCCTATGATAAAATATTAGTATATAACTCACGAGTCGGTATTCTGTCCGTCTGTCTCAGTAGCTTGTTCCATACATAGTAATATCATCCGTCTAGCGGCCAGAGACGACCATCGTGACCGACGTGACACGTTCAACTGACGCAGAGCCTGGTTCACGGCGCCGCTGTACGAGCTGAACACACCACAGCAGTATGAGAACCCTGAAAATGGACCAATCAGAATTAATTCCAAATTCAAATTCACACTAATGAACAAGCAAATAATATTCGAACATATTTTTAAAATTCGAAGACATTATAATTTTAATGTGCGTTTAAAAAAAAGAGTTCTTAAAAATTCACACACATCAAACACGTTAATGACCTGTTTTGATATAAAGAAAAAGAATTCTTATAATTGAATTAAAGTACATATGTTTAAATCTTGTAATAAAAAACTATAGGTATACGCCAACAAAAAAATTGGTAAGACTATCCTGTTTTGTTTTAATAAAAATATAACTAAATATATTCAGTTTCTTGAAAATAATAGGTTCCCAAAAAGCATAGACTAACAAAATCATAGACCCATACTAACTTTCATATTTATAATATTAGTATTACAATACACAGACCAGGATCTTCCTTTCCAGAAAGTTCTCTCCTCGCTTCCTCTATAGCTGACTCGACGGCTGTCAGCATCCCTCTGCGCCACTGCACCTCAATGAGTTGAGATAAAGCATCGAAACTCAACGGCCTCACTGATAATATCTGGCTTAGATGACGCTGAGCAGTCTCTAGATCAACCTGTATATAAATAAATATATTAAATTGATGTTCATATAAGTAATAGATTAAAAAAGATATAGAATATTTTTTAAATAAAAACGGCTCTTGTCTATCTCTGCTATTAGAAAAAAAATTGTAGGAGGCCAAGCCAAGGAGGTTTTGTGTAAGGTTGTTAGAATATTGTAATTAGCTTCAAAAATAATTGATACGGAAAAAAATAATAAGGCCAGGAATATGATAATTTTATAGCAGAATATCATTTATATTCTGCTATAAAATTACAAAGATGGTACATATGTATGTTATTATCTTTATACATATAAAAATTTCGTGTCACGTGTTTGTCCGAAATGGACTCCTAAACTACTAAATCGATTTTAAATTTGATTTGCATTCCGTGTGCATTTTAATCTACTTGAAATATAGGATAGCTTACATCTCAATTTATAATCACAACATTATTTTATTGCAAATTATTTGTCTATTAAAGAAAATAATTTGTCATTATTACAATTATCTATTCACTGAGATAAGTATTTAATAGATGGCGCTATGTTAAAAATACAAACATCATATATGAGCGACTATTTAATACATAATAGCATAACCACTACGTGTTTCGGAGACTAAGATATAACCTAACTTTATTTATTAAAAAAACCTAACAGACATTTCTTGATTATAGGGCGATAGGAAGTTCGCCGGGTTTTCTAGTAGTAGAATATAAATGTACAAAAGTTAGTATATTAATAATATACCTATATATAATTTACATGACACTACACCATCATTTATTTATAAACTTTATGTATTATATAAAACACTGCTCTCTAGTGAAGAAATTTAATACACGCTTATATTGTTATATAATGAACAGTTTCTTTAGTCAATGTTTCTTGTATTCACCTTACGGAACGCGAGGTCCGCCATCATGACAGCCGCTGCCTCGTTGTTAGGGTCGGCGTTCAACAACAACGTGCAAGTTTGTTCACAACGATCGGGATTGTTCATCTGGAATAATTATAAACGGCATTTTATTCCTAAAAAAATAAGGTTCTTATTTGTTTATTTCATAGCTCCAAATAGCTTATTGTGAAAACTGAATTCTATTTCTACAAAAATAAGGTTCCTATTTGATTACACTATAATACATAATAGTTTCTATTATGGACTAGAGTAGAAACTTAAGTAGCGATTTGGCAATCACTAAATTATTATTAAATAAGTTTAATACTATTATGTGCAGAACTGGGATTTACTCATCGAAACCATTTTTTACCTGATATTCCCAAAATATTAATTCAAACTTTCCACCACAAAATTAAAGGGACAGAAATAAATTAATTATAGTTTTATGTTACAACTTAAATATATACCTGTGCGTATAACTTCGCTAACGCCAACAATGTATCAGGGTCCCGCGGTGAGTATATCAAAGCCTCTGAGTATAAATTCGTCGCCACAGCTGGTTCCTTCGCAGATTTCGCTTTCGCCAATAAACATAGAATGGACGAAAGCATTTTCTTTTCCTCATCTATATCCCCCCTCGAATCTATTTCAACTCTTTTCAATACAGATATCTGTAGGTCCCTTGCTTCTGCTAATATCAGGTTAGTGTTGCCCGCTGTGGGATTCTTTATTTCCCTACTTCTTGCTTGTATTAGAAGCATTTTGACGCGTCGTCTCAATGCATTGATGTCTTTTTCCTTATTATAAAGTTGGTTCAATTCTGATGAGATCGTTGTGTCGACTTTATCGTACTGTTTGAGCTGGAAAAAGCGTGTGAAAAGGAAATTTAATGGGAAAATCAGCAATTTAATGACGCAATGGTGAAAAATATTAATGACAGAATTATAATAATTAATATCTATATAACACCTTTATTTAATTTTTTTAAGAAACTAAACTACTTCTTTAGATATAATGTATAATGTATTTAGCTGTTGTCGAACAATAATATTGAGCTAATACTTGAATTAGCAGAACAAATAAAGTTGATAGAATTAGAAGATCATATGACCAGGATTCGAACCCACAACCTCCTAAATATTTTTTTCTATTTGTTCTACAATACGTTTGATATTCACCTTTATAAGTAGTTCTAGATATTCAAATCTCAGTTCATCGTCGTTCAAGGTCCTGATAGCGTTCTCATAGTGTTGTGTAACTTTATCATATTCATGCATCTTCAACAGCGCTGAACCCATTTTCTTTATTAACTGTATGTCTTTCGGGTTCCCTTTAAGCGCTACATCATATGATGCAGCCGCTTGATTTGGTTCTGAAAATGGAAGCGTTTGTTAACAGCTTGCTTTTTTTATATAAAGTTTAATAAACTTGGTGGTAAAATTTATGTAATTGATGGGTTAAGATTAAAATCCAGTATGATCAAACTCGTACTGAAATAGACGTAAATATCTAAAGATACTCGAAAAACATGAAATTATTGAAATAAATCTATTTATACGCAAGAAAATGTTATTAATATATCAATATAAAAGTAACTTTTAGAAACCAAAATTCATTATAAAGCAATTGAAACCCAAAACAAAGATAATCCCAATATGAGATCAGTTAAAGTTCATACCAGAATATATATGATATTCTGGCAGAAAAATTTTATTAAAAATTACTCAATATCTCACCATGTATGGACATAAAGGCATCACCCATCATTGTATGAGCGTCTACCATAGGGTGATTGTTTACTATATCTTTAAAACACGATGTGAACATGGCCTTATCTTGCTTCTCTTTCAGGTAAATATGCGCCATTTTGCTGTGAGCTTGGAAGTAATACTTCTGTCCCGGTTTTACTTCGTTCAGGATTTCTATAGCGTTGTCAACATCTCCATTGCTTAATGCCAAATCTGCGCGAGCTATTTGTAAACGACTTTCCTCCGACGTGTAAGATATTTCTTGTATTGCTTCCTGATAATTAAGAGAGGAATTTGAAATGTAAGGGAGAAAATTTAATATGTAAAATAATATACTCTAAGTTTGTAAATTGTTATATTAATAAAAATAGCTAATACATTGTTTCGTATCTACGTATATATGGTATATTGGTATCTAACGTATATATGGTATATACGTATTGTAATTGAAATTCTAGACTGATTTTCGTTAAGGACGAAACAGAGATTTTATTTAAATATAGGAAATACTTGAATAAAATCGTAAAAACGACAATTTGAATGGCAAAATCGGTAGGTGTGTTTATTATCACGAAAGACACGGGGTTGTCATAAATCTTTGGAGTGACATTGACATAATTAAAACGTGCCAGTGTACTCGCGGTTTTAAACTTGATAATTACTCACTTGCATAGTTTTCCCGGCCTCTGCAAATTGTCCCAAAGACGTTTGTAGTTCTATTATGACAAAAAATAATGTAGCCTTATCAATTATGTTGAGCTCCGAATCATACTGCCTTGTTATATTATTCTTATTATTGGCTATCTGCAAACTTGTAATGAAACTTGCGAGAGCGTCCTGAATTTGATTCATATTTTTGAGTATTACGCCATTAAGAAAATGATACATTGCACTGTCACGAATTTTAAAATTGTAACTCAAACACATTTCCAAACTCTGTAGGGCTTTATTAAAATTGTTCTGTTGGACGTATATTTGAGCTAATAACACTTGACTGCCAGCGTGAGTATTGTCAAGATCGATGATTTGTTGGGCCAACGCCTTTGCCTCATTGGAGTAACCAAATAGGAACTTCAATTTCGCCAATTCATACAAAGCTGGTATCAAACCGGGACATGAATTTGTAATTGCTGTCAACAGTTTAAAACAATTTGCCACTATAGTATTGTTGCCGTCTTGAGAATAAAGAAGATGACCGACTACAACAAATGGTTTTTTTGGCAGAAGTTTTTTCAGTTCTTTGTATACTTGTAATAAGAAATCTGGATCTAATTTCTTTAAATACACCATACTGTATGGATAACATTCTGCCTGAGAGATTTGCGCTTCAATGGCATTATATAAAAATTTTTCTGCATTCTTGCTATTTAATTGTGCTGACAGTAAATATAAAACTGTAAATTTTTCAGTACCCTGCATTTCATACAGGAGTTCGACTTGTTCTGCTATTTGACTGGTGGTACCATTATCATACATTTGACATAAAGTAAGTCCGCATAAAGCAGTTATGGAATTACTATCAACTTTGCTTGCTGCTTTGAAAAAGTTTAAGGCATCTTTGTATTTACCTTGCAAGATACATTGGTAGCCGACCTCACTTAAGTAATCAACATTACTCGGCTGTAATTCTGATGCATATTGAGCAAATCTATATGCTTGTGATAAAACAGCACTTGATCTTCCACATAATTTTGAAAACAACTGGGCCGTGGTATAAAACTGATAGCCATTATTAGGTTCTTCTGCCTCAAGAATAGAAAAAAACTTGTTTAGTTCGTCGTCACCGCTTCAATATAATCAGCATTTTTACATAGTGCTATAAAGATTTTTATCTTCAAAGCTTCAATATTAACAGGGTCTATAGAGAAAACTCTTTCGATTGTGTCATACACAGCATCCCACTTCTGTGCAGCAAATTCATTTCTCATTTTTTCAACAAGCGGTACCACTTGGCCGGGATTGTTAACAATAAGTTTATCTAAAGTCAAATTAGATGCATCGTAATTCTTAGTAAGATATTTAAATTTAGCCAAACCAATGAGTGCTTCGACATTTTTATCATTCTTTTGTAAAGCTAATTCAAAGCAATCTAATATAGAGCTTTTCATATTTCCTATAGACATATGCATATCATTCCAACCTCTTAATATTATTATATTTATATTATTGGGATCCTTTCTTAATGCTTTGTTTATATATTCAGAACTCTTTTCATGGTTTTCAACTAGGAACAGAAATAGACCTGCATAATAAAATGATATGGCAGTTGCTTGCTTTTTACAATCTTTGAGTTTGGTCTCCAAGTTAAATAAAACTTCAGTGTCGTAGCTCTTAAGAGATTTATAGCTATAAATAAGTGTCAACACTACAGCCAATTCTAATTCCTTATCTGATTGTAGGGGAGTCAACTTATCAATTCCTTTATATATTTGTCCTTCCAATATGTTACATAGTCCATTATAAAATAAAAATTCTGAATCTTCTGTTACTTTAGATGAGGCTTCCAATGATATTTTTTCAGCTTTACCATAACATTTTTCTCTTATATAATAAAGTGTGTTAGCCCTAAACCATTCAGCCTCCATTATTTTTATTCCAAATCTAGCTGTACATTCAAACTTTTATAAGTGTCTTTATTATCTTCATAATACTTTGCAAGAAAATGACATTTACAAATTACATCCAAATTGTTTTCTGATATATAAGCAAATGCATGCTGTGGAAATAAATATGTTTATATTTATTAGTTATATGTGAGTGCATTAATTTTGATAAATAGAAACTTAAAAATATAGAACATTACCTTAGCCAAAAGTTTTCCAACGCCTTTTCCTTGAAACTGTTTTGGTACCTCAGTATGATGTAGTGTTATCTGCTTATCGTTCTTTGTATAAGCTAGTGTAGCTTCAGCTGAAATATAATATTGTTAGATATTTAATTTGAATGTTTATTAAATGAATAATCGTACTCTTTGTTCCAAAATATTGATTCTTTAGCGTGCCGGTAAGGTTAAACAAGTTGTAGACGTACCGCTGGGAATCGCTACTTCAAAACGTTGCTTAGCAACATTATTCACAACCTTCAACGCTTCTGTAGAGAAGGCTCTGGCTCGAGTTAACATCACAAATAGAGAATTTTATTTTCAGTTGATGCAATAAGAACAAAGATATGTTCCCATGAAATTGCGTTTTAAATATCCTCACTATATCATTAAAGTGATAGCGAATTTGTAAATAAAAATATCGTCATAGTGACATTGACAATTGACATTTACCTTAAAGACAAGCTTAGTGAATAGCTACTTAATGTTTAGTTATTACTTATTTCAACGTTGACATTCGCAAAATATTCCACAATTCCAGTGAACAAGGCTAGGAGAACGAAAAAGAAATTGTTATGTATTATATGCAAATAACTGTTCACATTATTGCTCTTTCTTTTATTTTATTTTTTGTTTATTTTTTGTGTTTTCAATATTGTTCCCAAAAATATCATTCCGTATAAGCAGTCTATTTTTCATATTTTATCAATAAAATGGACTTTTTATTTAAAATTTCATTGATTTGTGATAAATTTAGAATTTTATAAAAAAATAATTATTATTTGAAATATGAACTGTCGTTTAATAAAAGTAATTTCTTATTAATACATTCATAATATATATGAGACGAAACCTCTTAGCATTCAATGGATTCACCGTGCGGGTGCCGGATCCATCGCGTTACATAGTAATTATTTTTTTACGTGATTGTTATTTGTCTTTTAAAATTATGTTTCATTAGTGATACTTTACGCTTTAGTACTTTACGCTTTTGCCATATTTATCAAATTTAAGGAACCAACAACCTATTTAGTTAATAAAATTAGCAAACATTATTAAAGTAATTAAAGAAACGCAACAATCCACTTTTCCCAAATTTGGCGCTACCCACAATGCGTATATATATTGAAAATTATGATACAATTGTTAAGATAAATAAAAAGAAAAACTAATAACTATGCTAGGACTTTTACATTTCTAATATCCAAGAAATATATTATAGTGAGTTTTTTAAGATTAGTCATTTAAAATTTCTAATGTCTGGTGATCGTTATTGTCAAATAAATTAGTTTTATTGCTCTTTCGTTGTCAGTTTCAAAGATGCCTATTATATTTACATAACCGCAATAATGGACCACAAGGAACTGAAATATTTATTTGAATTTTTATGCCAATGAATAAAATCATGGGTCTTCTATTACTTATCTTTTGCTTTTATTAAATACTAGCTACTCGGGCAAAAGTCGTTCTTCTCAAACTTACGAAGAAATTTAATAAATGTAACTTTTTTCGAGTGATCACTTTATTTACATCGAAAGAATAACCAAAAATAAGTTTTAAATTTGGTAATCCACAGTATTTTAAAAACCTAATCATTATAATGCCTTATGGTTTAGAATATTTTTTGTTTGAATATTTAACAAATAATGCAAAAGGTTTTCCAATGTGGGAGGAGGCAACATGAAAGTGTAAATGAGAGGAACATGGATTTTTCAGATTAAATATTTGAAGACTGACCCTGTGATTTACTTACCGTTATTGCGAAAGCAAACCGCAGTGGAAATTACAGTCGTTTACGTTGCAGTAATGCTACAATAAATAACATTTTTTAAATCTTATAAATGTGTTTAAACAGTCTAATCAACTTTGATAATTACGTCAACCTTTTAATAACGTATTTAAAAAAAATATTGTTTTTGAAATTGTCCGTGCAATTATTATTATATACTAGTTTTTGCCCGCGACTTCGTCCGCGTTAGTTTGGTCAAGAGTAATATATGTAGGTATAGCTGACCTGGCGAACTCTATTCCGTCTAAGAGGCCATAAATAATCAGGTTTTTCCTGTTTCAATCAAACAGAATGATTGTCATATTAGTTAGTTGTCAAATCTAACGTCAAAAAAAAACGTTTGTATGGGAAATAGAAAAGGGCTGTTTTTAGGGTTTTTCCGGCAATTATTCCAATTATTCTCACCTTTCAAACCTTCCCTGGACTTCCAGGATTATTTCAAGACTAAAATTAGCCCAATCGGTTCAGCCGTTCTCGAGTTTTAGCGAGACTAAGGAACAGCAATCCATTTTTATATATATAGAAGATTATTTAGCGTGCAATTATTATTTAGCATGAAAACCTGCAGTGGGTCTTAAATATTACAAAAGAAGTGTTTAATTATTCGAGTCATTTTTAAGGTAATGCGTTTAGCAACATCCATTTTATTTATATAGATAGATGACAGCGTTTACTCCTGTTTGATGTCAGACTGTATTTTAAGTTAATTAGATGAAGAATTAATTACATTATATTAAGCTACGATTTTAAAACACTTCTTTTCTCTTTCGAGAAAATTTCATTTACCTGAGTAGGTGAAAGGAGAATGTTTAGGACTTAATATCAATTATTGAATTAAATTAAATATAAAAAACCTTTCTTCTTGGTATTTAAATTGATATTTTGTTTGCACCTAACTATCATATTTCTTTTCTTTTATAAAAAAGCAAGCTTCATTTAAATTCAGATTCAATCAAACGATTTTTTTTTTGATGACGTAGTGGAAACTCTTTTTACGAGCCGTCCAACCGGCCTTGGTGGGGCCGGAAGGGATGTGTGAGGCTCGGCCTGGGCAGGCCCCTACTCACTAAAGCCACTGCGAAAGCCATCGGCCGCTATGTCGGTGTACCCCGGATCTATCAGCGACAGGGCACACCAGCGACTGGCCGGTCCTGGCAAAGACCGGACTTACTCCCTCGGAGAATGGGGGCGATCCCGGCAATTAGGACCGCCCCGACGACGCCGGACTTTCAATAGGGCCGGGTTACCACGGCGACCCCAGCCCGGAACACAGGGGTAGGAATTGCCTCCGTCGCACCCCCGTACGTCGCCTGCGGGGGGAGGGAGCATCAGCCGCCCTCTCCCTTTCCCGCTGAGATGCCTCCTTCGTGGACATGACCGTCTCACAGAAGGAGGACACCGCCAACCAGGACCCATCACTCTCGAGCATCTTCTCCACGACACTCGAAAGCGACAGGTCCACAGATTCAATCAAACGATGAACCAATGAGATCTATTGGCAAATTTTCCTTAAACATGAAAATAATACTAATAATAATAATCATTATTATAAATAACAATATTTTTATAATTTCAATCGCATAAACGAGGCTAATGTGCTTAGAAATAAATTATCTATTTTTAGAGCATAAGTATATAAGTAATACTAGAAGACCTGGCGAACTTCGTATCGTCCTATAATCAAGAAATATATATTACGTTTTTTTATTTATATTTTTGGAGTTTACCTGTAAGCCATAAATCTCCGTGTTTTGAAGTGCGACAGAATGATTGACATATTAGATAGTTGTCAAATCTAATGTAAAAAAAAAACGTTTGTATGGGAAATAGAAAAGGGCTGCTTTTGAACCTTCCCTGGACTTCCAGGAGTATTTCAAGACTAAAATTAGCCAAATCCGTTCAGCCGTTCTCGAGTTTTAGCGAGACTAAGGAACAGCAATCCATTTTTATATATATAGAAGAAGAAGATTAGTAACTAAGTAATATTAGTAACTATTTTATAAATATCTGGATACTGGAAATACTGAATAAACACAAAATTATTATACTTAAGACGAAAAGTTGGCTCTAATTACAAGATAACATTTATGACAAGGATTTCCTATTGTTCATTGTTAAGTCATAGTACTATGAACTAGACTATACTTAGCAACAGTACGGACCTTTTGAATCGTTACACTACATACGATTCCCGTTTTTCATTCAAGAACATACCTACTTAATGTAAAAATATAATTTGTCAATGAATAACTTCAAAAGAATATGTAATGTGATATGACAATTTACTACTTAGAATAAACCTACACAAGGCAATTAAATTATCTGTTAAATGCTAAAATATATTTTTAATAGGCTCCTCCTATTCCTTGATCAAGAAATTGAGCCATTCAATTAAAACTCGCACATTTTTACTCTTTTCTAAAGAAAATCGAGATATATGTAGCTAAAATTTAAATAAAAATTATTAAAACTTACGAACTATTCTTGTATATAGATGTATGTCATATGTGTATAGAAATACTTGCGTGTAGCACTCATGATTTATTCCAGCCTTATAATTTATAATTTTTATCCGGCAAATAATTTTCTAATGAAATTCAGAAGTTTGCAATTATACGTGTGAGTCAATGAACAGCTGTGCAAGTAAGCCGGCGCGCGCGCACGTTGTAGTCTTACACAGAGCGCTGCGCGCGCCACGCGCTTCTTACGACAGGTGTTAGACGCTAAGATTCACGTGTGAAATGCCTTAACATAAATAAAACAGTGACTTATAAGAAAAACTATGTGATAATTACGAACAAACAAATATATTTAGTAGTATTATATATAGTTGTATCATTAAGGATGCGTAATATTGATAAGTATTGGGGATATTTGAGGATGTTGGTTTCCCAAGAGACCGTAAGCTCTATCATCACTACGCGCTTTAAAATTCGCGAAAACAAAAATATATCCGGGCTGGAGGCCGACGCACAAATATCCTCGGGGATTTTATATTGTTTTTCATAAGTGTCCATCATTATAGTCCACTCCGACGCCGCTTTAAGGATGGAGTAAGGCTTGACATTTGATTTTGTAGCCCTAGTGTCTTCTCTCACAAAACCTACTGATCGTTCGTTTGTAGTTATTTCCCTTTGCGCTCTGGCTATCGAAAGACTAACCACTTCACGTATGATTTCTAGAATCCTATCGTGACGACGCGAGTATTGACCGCTGTCCAGGAGTACCTTACATCCCACCAGCAGATGCTTAGCAGTTCCAACTGCCTTTCCACAGATATAGCAAGTTTTTTCGGTACCTTTACCCCATCTTAGTAAATAACTCTGATCTGGGAGAGTCATCTGGAACGCATTGAGATAGAATTTTAGCAATGCTGGCGACCAATCATGAATTAAAGTGCGCCGTTTTAATGCTAATGGGATGCAAAAATGTCCTATGTCTAACCACTCGTTCTGCATGTCTAAATTCATTGCATGGATCTTATATTTATCATTCTCGTCTTGCCGAATAA